GCCTGGGTGCGGTGGTGACCCGCCTGTAATGCTGCTGATCGGACTTGCTTGGCAGGGATTGCACTCACGCTTTGGAATGTGCTCGGCGGAGGCCACATCCGGTCTGACGAGGAAGAAGAGCGTCGTCGACAGACTGGCGAGAAAGGGCGGACTGCGCTGAGCGGTTGGGAGCGGACGCCGAACGAGAAGAAGATGTGTGATGCGCTCTCTGTTGTCGCCAAGGAGGTGGGCACGGAGCATGTCCAGGCTGGTGAGCGAAGCTGCCCCGGATCCATGTGGACGGCCGCATTGACGCGTGTGTATGTGCACAGTCGCGATCGCGTACACGATGCACAAGGCGCCATTCGTCTTCCCGATCGTGGGTGGACGCAAGGTCGAGCATCTGCAGGCGAACATCGAGGCGCTGAGTGTGCGGCTGAGCGAGAAGCAGATCCAGTACCTGGATGGCATCCTTCCGTTCGACAAGGGCTTCCCGAACAATGTCATTGTACGTCTGCTGGTGCCATCTTCGCGGTCGCTGTCTGACTGTTTGCTGCAGGGAGAGTATGGGACGTATCCGTTCTTGTTGACGTCGTATGCGACGTATGATCTGCAGCCCTTGCTACCGCCTGTTCTTCCCTCTGTAGACTAGACACCCAGCTCTCATATGGCTTCTTGTTGGTTGCACAAGTGGCATGAATCAATCTGTATAAGTAGAAGTGACCGAATAGATACAAATGTGGTATATACTTTCTGTCGCCCTCATGAAGAGGTTATCCGACGCTAGGTGTTGGGAGCGACGCCTCTCTGTCCTTCGAGTAGAATCCAAGTGCGAGCGCGAAGATCTCGCATATCCACAAGCCGTAGAACCATCAACTGTTCATAGTAGTCTTAAATATGGTGAAAGTAATTCCCCGATCGCGAGGAGTGGTCGCTCCTGCTACGTTTTCATCTCGCAAGGGCCTTCTTAGATTCACTTAGAATCCAGACACCCGCCTGGAAATACATTTGCTATATGGTCAATGGTCTGTCACAACGTATCCCACAGTGTCTTATTAGGGCCGTACACGCAATTTCCGCGGCAGTTTGGCAGTATTGGTCTTGTGCATATGTTGGTACGAAGTATGATATATTATTGACCCCGGTCGTTCTTGAAGCGCTACACCTAGCGGCACGGGCCTCTCATGACGGGGTCCATTTTACAATCAAAGGATGAGTTGAATGCTGAGGACTAATAATAGCACACCATCGCTTGGATGCATGTACATCGTTACCCCCTAAGAACGTGTCCTAAGGAGCTGATTCTGTACGACTAGCAAGAGGCCATACATAGTATCTACGCGCTGCAAGGTGATTTTTCAGACTTAGGCCCTCAGTCGAGTTGGACACGAGAACATACCGGCATGCCGACACCTCGCTGACGACCTAACCTTACTGTTTCACCCAGAATGACTTCGAGCTCCATCGGTCGACCCAATTCGACGTCGACAAGAGTACTGGGTCGGTGCTTCATGATTCCGTTTCCGTATGCTTCACCTGTGAGGGTCAAGGTCCTGAGTGCCGAATCTGGATCAAGGTTGGGACCCGTTTCAGTGGGAGGGAATAGAACAGCTCCAAGAGCATGGATTTCCAGTAGAATGTCCAGCATCAGTGGGATAGTGTACCATCCGATGTCGTCCGATGCACTTGGCAAATGCGCCGTGGCGGTCGTAGAAGGAGGTGGTGGTACAGTGATGGTGGTATCCCCTTTGAAATCGAGTGGATCTCCTGATGCAGTGTCCTCCTTCTTGGGAGGTATAAATATGGCATCGCATGAGAAGCGGGTGAGTGCAGGGAACATATTGAAGCAGACGTTCCAGACGTTCTTCACAAACTTCAGGCGGTGGATATCGGAGGTGACAAGTATCCTCGCCCCACCAGCTTGCAGCATTTCGGCGAAATCGGACATGACGGCAGACTGTTGCGTCGTGTCTTGCATTGTAATAGAGAGAGGATGGTATACGCCCAGCTCTACACGGCCCTGATATTGTGATGGTCATATAGGATCAGTGTAGCAGAGCCGTCACCGATCTACTCACGAAATCGGTGTGTATGACCGTCCTTCCATCTATCATTCGCACGCCAAGCCATAAGGCGGTGCTGATAATTTTCGGCTCCTCACTGCGGTTACGCTCCTTCAACGTAAGGTACAAGTCCGCTTCAACATTGATACCGTTTTGCATGAAGACATACGTCGGTTGGACATGGTGGTCAGAATATGGCGAGCCGATCAGAGGTGCAAGAAGCGCTGGAGTTGTTACTACTTCTGGTACAGCTTTTGTCCCAATTATCACGAACTCGTACGTGCGATCGAGGGCTTCTGTCAAGGTTTGGGATACTACAAAACTGGTGAAGGTCATAATTACGGCCTGAGGATTCAGTGTACGTACGCCGGTATGGCCGCCAGCCTATAACATTGCCACACATAGAACTTTTGAAGTCTATTCCATGTACTGCAGTAGTCCACAATTAGAGACAATGATGTCGCAGTCAAAGCTTCGTGTTCACCCTTCACCGTTTCGTAGTTACTTCTCGCGACAACAGTAACTCGTGCCTGTCCACCTTTTTGTAAGACATATGAATCTACGAACGATCATGATTAGCTTAATTCGTCGCGGACATGCATAATCTGGTACGCACATAACGCGCCGACCGGCCCTAGCCCAAGTACGAGGACGTCTCTCACTACAGACTCCGTAGCCATAGGAACCTTCAACCTGGGCAGTGCAAACTGGTCGCCTTATCACTGCCAGTTAGCTCGGCCTCGGCGATTCTCGAGGATGTTCTATCATGCTCCAATCTTTGAAATAGCAAACCTTGTTGGACGCCACTTTCCTCTGCTTTAGCTACTAGATAGCCCGAACACGCGTCCAAGGCACTAGCGCTGATCGGCTCCTCTTGTCATTTCCAAATGTAGCAGTTTCTCGGCAGTTCAACATGATGGATCACACACGAGCGCAGCGAGGGGTCGCATCTTGCCCACTCTGTTTCGAACTTTATCAGCTTTCTGGGCGTATGGCAAGTATATTCTGTGTCGGCGTGCGGAGATCATCCGATTCTGGCTCAACATGCCCGACTCGTTCCAGTGTCAGTTCGGCGGAGCAACTCATACTTCCCGAGGCCAATCCGTTGGTCTCATTCTTCCTTCTTTTTGTTTACTTCTGTTGCTATACGTGGAGGCGTAGAAGACGGGTGCGTTGAGCTATTACTGCCAGCAATGCAACGGGAATCCGCACAAAAACGTGCCTGTGCGTTATCTTTCATCATGTCGAACGCGGATTGCAAATGTGAGCAGGAGTTCAGACATCATGATGGAGATGCATTTGTTATATCAGCTAACGCGACTCACTTCCATCGAGCTGTAAGGTACGATGACTGCACTCAACCTCAATGACACTATGGGCTGCACGCTCATTGGCGTCCTTTTTGCCACGCTGTGAATGTCGTCCTTGCTCGAGCATTGCGGGCTTAGACACCATGTCTGACACTCTTTTCAGGTTCTATGGCTTCTCTTGCGCGCAAACCATGTTCTACTTCTATACATACAGAAAGGATAAGCTCCGACTGAAGATACTGGTAGTTGATTTCGAAGGGTATGTTCCGGGGTGATGACTGACACAGTTATACCTGCCGCAGGTGGCCTTCTTGTGGTCAGCTACTTCGATAGTAGTTGCTCGTTCACTCACAGCCTGTTGTCCAGGTTGCTCGGTACTGCCAGAGCCATTGTAGATGCTGCGGTCAGTTGGTTTTGAGCCAGACTTATGGCTGCTAACATTCAGTAGTACATATGGTATTTTCTCGTACTCAATCATGCGACTCTCGAAGGGCTGGAAAAGAATCCAACGTGAGCAACTCAGCAGATGAATGTGTCTATTCGAATCATGAGCTCACTAGTAGATGACAGACAATACGGTATTGTGAGCACACTTTGTGGGCACTTGACCAGCAAGATGCTTACTCAACCCTCGTACCAAGACTGAATACCTTTTCGCGGTAAGTCTAAAAGCCGTGTTGCGTGAACTTGAATATGGGACCCTAATGTCTACCATCATAGGCCCTAATGATCGTGATTGTCCAACTGCGAGTTATCCCGATGACTGTTTGAGCCGCAACTCTCTTATCAAGTATGGCAGATTCTATGTACATTCAATCTGGATATGTACGTTTGCTTTAATGAACATTCACTAATGGGCTGCTTAATCTGCCATGGTTTTCCACCAGTTCTGGAAGGCAAATGGTTCAGAATGCCAGTAACCCTAACAATTGTAATTTTTGGACTACTCTGTTTGATGCCTATGTTGCTCATCAGATTTATTTTAGGTCTTCCTTTCGCTATTCTCGTTTGGTGAATACTAGCTCTATATGACCTTTCTTGTGGACTTACGATTAGAGCTTCGATTGAAGGAAATGGCTTAGGTATGAACTAATATATAATGCGTTACGTATCATGGTCCACTCACAACAAGTGCTTCAGCGATGCTCATTGAACTGTGAGCACATATCTGAATGCTACGATTGTTCACTGAAGTTCCTTTGAGGGCGCGACATCCGGCTGTCAAGAGTGCTCTCACATTCACGATAGTCAGTGATTCCTTGCGGTTCTTGAAGCGCTCCGTACCATGTTAGATTTTCAGCTGCCGGGAACCATGCAACCAGCATCCGCGTTTCTTACGGACTTGTACATCGCGACATCGCTTTCAGTCATTCTGAAGCAGCAGAAGACGGGGCTTAAAGGGTCAGTGTGCCGTGCAGCACATCAGTAATGATATTGACGACATCAATACGCGGTAACCACACAGCACCGACTACCTATTGTCGAAACTTGCACTGTACGCAATCCACCGAGGGATTTTTACCGCGTAAGCATATTTTTGCTCGGACGGACGAGTTACCATGTTAATCGCTATATAGGGTGTTCGAACTACTGGAGCTCTTAACAGTCAGTGTGTGTTTCCAGTATAATTGAGTGTGCCGTAGTGAACGGTCTGGAGTTCGCCTCGACTCTTCATCAAACAAAACTTCTCTGGGCTCTCTTTCATTTCCCCGGGAGTCAAGGTATTCATCCCCGGTATACAATCAGAATGCATCGAACTCATCCTCTTAATGACAACAGTCTATGTCAATTGTCTGCTCGCATGGTTAGAAGCAGTCTGTCTTTCCACTCCCCAGTATCACCTCACCGTGGTCTACATAGGCTCAACATACGCCGATACCTCCAAGGGACCAAATTTCAAAGCAGCACCGTTTTCCTCTCGTGAAATGCGCTTGAAGGCGAATCATGGCGAGTCCTATCGGATGGATGCATTCGTGTATGATTTTGAACTGAAGATTACGATTCATGGTTATCACAGTTGGGAATTTGCGAGATGGGCTCACGGCACAGCTCTATATCGTACCTGTACAACTGTTTCCGAACTTCATGTCCGATGTTCGCATTGCGGGCTTGAAAAGTTAAACAATTCCGACAATTGAGAAAATAGGGAAAATTGAGTACAGCAGTTGTTGCCTCATGCTGCTATGTCTGAAAGACGGAGCTCTGTAGACTATCCTTAGATCCGCGGAGACATGAAAAGGGCGGGTTCACTTGTGCGCAACGGGAGGCAAAAGAGAGGGCTGAAGCGCTTGTCTCTCGCATTATGTGTTGTGAGATGATCATCCTGTGCAGGTATCTTGTACAATGTAAGTATGAACACCAAATAATCTTGTGCTCAAATAATACTCTCAATTTGACTGACTTTAGAAAGTGGCGTCAAGTGTAGACCATTTCTACGTTGCGGACCGTATATTAGAGCTCAATTCTATTCTGCAATCGCGTCCAGATCTCTGCGGGAAGGCATCCATTGGCTGTAAAAGTCAATTTTATTCTGCAATCGCGTCCCGAGCCCAGAGGAGACACACAACTTCTACCATCTGTACACCACATGTCTTCAAAAATTTGGGGTGGTGCAGCATACCTCCGATTAGGGGTTCTGATACGCCGAGTCTCTCGCTCTGGCGTTACCACACTGTGTAGGCCTTCAATAAGTGTACTCCCGGTCGAATCGGGATGCATAAACGGAAGCCGGGCTCATGGACGGTCGCGGCGCGAGCCAGGAACAGTAGGGAGCTTCAATCAGGGTAGTATACAATATACAAGAGATTCTATATTCGAAGTTCTCGTCATAGATCTACTACGGACACTGCCTGCTCTTGTTTGAGTCTTCACCTTCGGAAGTACAGGCACGTAGCGAGTCTTCTGGACCTGTAGGCCCTTGCTCCAAAAGTAGCGTCCGCTCTCAAAAGCCCAGCAGTCATTCGTGCGAAGCCAAATCGCCAGAGCGAGGATGTATTCCTCGAGCTCTTTGTCGACAGTGGGTCCAAATGATGGCAACTCCTTCATCCCGTCCAGGAACTTGTTCTCGACATCCTTGTGGTAGCTCGCAACCCATGCCATTGCTGCCTCCAAATCAATGTTGAATTGGTGCATGACGATGGTGAGGATGTTGTGACGGTCGTTTCCCGTTGACTGCTCCCAGAACCTGGTTTGCGAGCACGTCGTCAGCGAGGGGCTCAAAATTGGATTGACATGCACGTACTGTCTCGTAATCTCACCAAGATGGTGCTCTCCCTCCAGGCGCGGCTTGTGCGGCTTGTTTATCGCGTCGATGACCATATCGACTATGTCACGGACAACGGGTGCGCTCTCGACATCAGTCGACTCCTCAATGATAAGGAAGACGCTCATCAAATCGCAGCCGGTGCGCAGGTGCTCTGGAGGATAGGTCACAAAATATAAGCTCAAGCGAATGCGTCACTCACCCTTCGAGGCCCATGGGTATGCGAGAGACGCAAGCCTTCCTGTACATATCCCTGAGTCAGTGCACAATGAAACGATAGGGCACACATACCAGGATCGCACGTCTCAAGGGCAAGCTGCAACCTCTTTGTGAATGGCTTGAAGCCTTCGAACCATGCGTCTGACTCAGCCTCGACTTCCTCGTGGTGGGGGTTGATAGCTCTCGGCCAAGGCCAATTAGCCATGGTGTCTGGGAGGTAAATCATCTTCGGCTGGGCTGACATTGTGTTCCAGTCCGAGGTGACGATGGGGTCTGCTCCTGCCTCGATTTTTGAGCATAAAAACCTTCTGCTAATGCTAATCAGCAATGCTCCGACGGGAGCGAGCTCAATAAAAAGATTTTTAGGGCCTCCTGATATCGGGAAAACTGATCAGAGCGCCCTGGTAATCACAAAGCGTACATCGTGCTCGCTGGTATTTGGCATACCGTCCCCAAGTTGTATACACCAACTAAAAGCTGTGACAAATAACCTTGAACTGTGCATTGATACACCGACTCTGTTCCTGCATGGCTGTACGGCTCTTTGACTCTCAACTGCCACGCGTGGAAAGTATGAGACAAAATCCACATGTTTATCTCCGAGCGGACTCATTGGATGGACTTCGATGACGTCGAACATCTCGCTGCGGCTTGGTGATTATATTCTCCGATCGTGAGGAGTTTGTCGACGAGGGGCTGTCAGTCCCAGGGATGTGCGCCTATCAAAGAACGGCCTCAGAGGATACACCCATTTCAAAGAGCGACACCGACCACACAGATTTTCATGCTAATGTCTGAAATTGGGATTTTCCCTCACGATGCGGCCGCCAGGGGATAGGTCATGGTAGAGGGGAGGACTAGCATAGTGCTAAGAAATGCCAATGAGTTTGTCACCTGTGGTACGGCCGCGTATCGCTGTGCGTGTTGTCGAGACACGTGGCCGAAACTGGGAGCCCTCAGCACGATCATTATCCGATTTTCCTCATCCAGGGGGAGTGATGTCCTATTCCAAGGTCAAAATGATCAAGGTAGCGAGATAGCAATGTAAACGCACCGTCGACAACATTCTATATTGTAAATCGTAGATGTTTCCCGGGCTGGCCGCCGCCTCCGAGCGTGCTGCCATCAATGAGCAATGGGAAATTGACCGTGTTGGTCATTTCGGCGTGAAGCTGGCGACTGGTATCTATCCAAGGGCCCTGCCTATGAGGAGGGATAATGATTCTATACCAGTTCTTACTGCCACAATATATAGTTGTCGCGGTGCAGGATTCTGAGCGACTCCGCCACAGAATCTTAGTCTCTTGCTCGCTAGAGCAAGGCTATGACGCCGTCGAAAATGTCGCTATTCTTTCCGACCCTTTAGTTACTTATTGACTGCTGTTCGTTCCGTGAGTTGTTTGAGAGCTGCGCAGCTGTACTTGTAATGTAAGAGTTCCATTAATATTGCATGGGGGTCGTTTGCGAGCAGGGACATCGATATCGCCGACGCAACGTTCAAGTTGCAAACTCAAAGTCAAAATCAAACGCGCACGCGCTGATTAGATTAGATGCCCGTCCTTGCCGTTATCTAAACATTGCGTCAGTTTGCCGGGCAGAGTTGGAAGTGGATACTTCTCTCTCAATCCCAAACTGCCTTTTCATCGTGTACATCATGCGTCGTCTTCAAGTCCAATTAGCCTCAAAGGCTCTACGACATGGCTCAAATACTCGGGAGCTCACTAAAAAGTCCGCTGCAACCGCTGCTCGGATGCAACATCATGGCACGCGGTCATATTCAACCAGTGATTCGGGCAGCGATGCTGGTCCCAGCAGTCAGAATCCAGAGGTATGATTGCGGTAGGATATCCTCTTCGTTGTCCACAGCCTAACATGAGGTAGGTACAAGAAGGGTGGTTGTTCGTTGATTCGGTATTGCCAGTACGCTTAGGGACATGGGAGTGCGTCAGTCGTTATGTTACTTCATCTGCACAGCTGATTCTCACCACGACCCAGTGTGCGACGTTATATTGGCTACTTCCGCGAGGAAGTGCTCCTAGATCGCCTCCGCTCCGTGCTCGCCGACGTCAAGGTTCACGGTTTCAAAGTGTTGAACTTGGAACCGCATCCGAAGGACGGCGGCGTGTTCGTCAGGTTCAGATGTAACGCAAGCAGTAATGATGCTGCCCTGTCAGAAGTTGTACATAGTCTACGACAGTATACTGCTGAGCACGGTGGCGTGCCCTCATGGGCAGGGCTATCTGGAGGCAACGTATGGCTAGTCAAGGGGAAGCCATGGAGAGAAGTATGTAGCCTCGCATTGGTAGTACAAGAGGTAGATACACTGACGTATATATTTCAGGATATGAACCGCTATGCGTCTCCCATTCTCCGAGTTGCCTTTGAGGGCCCGGATGTGCCCGAAGAATCGCTCTATGACTTGCTCAGAGTGTGTCCCACTTGTTACTTCATTACTCGCATTTCGACTGAGGTTCCTCTAGCCGTATGGTCGAATACAGGATCTCTCCCACCCAATGCCTCCTCCTGCAGTCGGCGGCCTGCGCTATTCGATTGTCACCTTCCGTGGAGTCCGCTCTGCCGCCATCGCTCGCAATGCTGTACACGGTGCACGCGTCGCGCCCTCTGGCACGATTATACATACAACATACCAGGCGCCTGTGCAGGCCCATGCCGTCCGCGATTATATGGCCAGTCATCCACGCATATTCTTACCGGTGCTAGTGTTTTTGCTAGGCACCATTACCTATACCGTGAGTGGACACTATTCCGTTCCGGAGCCTGCTCATACTCATACTCGTTAGATATTTGACCCTGTCCGTGTATTCATGGTGGAGGGTAAGATTGAAGGCTGGTTCAACATCCGAGGTCAGTTACGAGTTATCGTGCTGTTCGTCACTCTTCTTATGTATATATTTATGCACAGAGTTCCAGCTGTACAAGTGGTTGCGCAACACTGCGCTCGACAAGCTGTCATTCTCTTCTAGCTCGCACGTTGATGATACCACTACGGTCGCGGCAGAGGACGGGTGGAAAGAGCGCAAGGATGCAGAGAATGCGCTTGACAGCTACCTCAACGATCTACCCAGTACGCTATGATCGGCATTACCGCAAATGCGTTCCGCTCACTGACACTATACAGACACTATTGCGTTCGTCCACGGACCGCAGGGCAGCGGCAAGTCTCGCATGATCGCCTCAGCGCTCAAAGAGACCGGTCGGCACGTCGCAGTTCACTACATGCGCACTGTTTGCGACACTTATGTACTTTGAAGGAAAGCCCTGATCATCGACGTTGCGGAGCTGTCGAAGGCGTCATCCGACACTACACTGGTTTCGGCGCTCGCGCAGCAAACGGGCTACTGGCCCGTCTTCTCCGTCTTCAATTCGCTGAACAATCTCATTGACCTCGCCAGCGTTGGGCTCATCGGCCAGAAAGGTAACTGCTAGCCCTGGGCTCTGTCTGCATCGTGTTGACTGAGCACTGTTCCTGCAGCCGGCCTGAGCTCCTCGCTCACCGACCAGCTGAAACAGATCCTCGAGGTCGTCGGCACTGGCCTTGCACGCGTGAACACGACGCATCGCCAACAGCACCAGGCTGCCAAGGAGGATGCTAGGCTTGCGGTGCTGCAGCGGGAGGCACAGGAACGCCTACAGGAGCGCATCCGCACGGGGCGCTGGCACGATGGGCGATTGGACTGCATCGCGGGAAACGGCGTGATGAGCGAGCTGGGCATCGGGGACGAGCTGTTCGGGGACGATGACGCAGACCCGACTCCGATGGTGAGCACGGCTGTGCAACTGAGCGAGAAAGGTAAGGCAGCCAGTGAAAAGCTTCCGGGACCGCGTGGCGACGAAGAGAGGCGACAGACGAGCTCGGATGATGTGCCAACAATCAAGTCGATGCCGATTGTGATCGTCAAGGGCTTCGAGACGAAGGGCGGTGGACAGAACAAACAGGAAATGCTTGACGTCATCGCGCACTGGGTGGCGACGCTCGCACAAAATCAGGTGAGATGCGCCGTGATCTTGTTTTGAACTCATCAGGACCGCCATGACCCTAGGTTGCGCATGTAGTGGTCGTCAGCGACAATCGCGAGAATACTAAGCGGCTTGCGAAAGGTAGGACATCGCTTTTGTGCAACCGTGTATTATTAAGGCAATCGTCTGCAGCGCTCCCATCACAGCCTCTGAATCTGATCACACTGTCTGACGCGGACAATGCGAGTGCACTCTCCTTCGTGAAGCAGAAGCTACATGATGCCGGCGTCGACGTGAGATTCAACTCGGAGCAGCGGACCTACATCCAGCGCTTAGGCGGCAGGGCCAGCGACCTTGAGAGCGTGCGTAGACAGTCACATGTGTCATGGCTTGCCAGCTGAGTGATGTCCCCAGTTGATCCACAAAGTGAGAAGTGGACAGACGGTGCAGGAAGCCGTGGAGGACATCATCACGCGTGGCGTCGGCGAGATCCGCAAGAACGCGTTTGGCGACGACCTCGAGGACGCAAAGAACCTGCCATGGTCTAGGGAACAGGCATGGGCGCTCATGCAGAAGCTCTCTACGAAGTCGGAGGTATGCGTGGTAGACTTAAACAGGCACCTGAAGCCTCATCGACGCCAACTCCCCCTAGATATCCTACAACGAGGTGCTCCTGGACTTCCCTTTCAAGAATGACGAGGCATCGCTAAGACATATGGAGCACGCTGAGCTCATTGCGATTGGGACTGAGAATGGTAAGGTGATGCGCTACTATAACGCTTGTGTCTCATCATGCCCGGTCAGGTCGATCCTCATCAATCAAGCCCGGAAAACCGATCTACAAATATGTCTTCGAACGGCTGGTGCAAGGTATGTCCCGCCTCTTAGATAATATCAACTACAGTGAGCCTTACGGGTGGCCGACAGATCACATTTTCCGTGCGACGCAAGACATCGCATTCAACGAGAAAGTTATTGCTGCCTCGGAAAGCACGGTCAAGGCGTGCGAGCAAGAGCTTCTCGCCCTGAAGGACGTCGACGCTGGGACCGCCGATTGGTGGGGATCCAGAACCGCAGTCCGGGAACGCATGAACTACCTGCTCAAAAAGATGAGACTGGCAGAGGAGAAAATTGAGGCCTTGGACAAGCAGAACACGAGCCTCAAGAAGATCCTCTCCAAATAAGAATGCCTCGCTGTTCATGATGATGTCGGGACATGGACTGTGAAATTTCTGCTCAACAGGATTATGATGTACGGGATCAGGTTTGCATTGTGACACAATGTGTATCAACCTACGCATCTCAGTGAGGCCATTATATATGAATTATATCACCCTTGAGAACTTGAATGTTTGGACAAGCTACAATGTACCTACCTATCTACCTACCTATCTACTAACAATATATATAATGAGCCTTCAGCCCTATGGGATATGAGTAATGCTGCAGATGAAGTCTGGCCTTCAGCCAGTAAAATGCGAGTGTGACAGAGCGAGCAACTAGCGACTATAGACGGTCCCATTGCATGATGAAAAAGACGGACATGACGTGGAGACGTGACCGGAAATGTGTATGGAGTCTTATTGATTTTGACTGCGAGACGGGAAAGGGACTAGAGAAATCGCGAGCAAAACTAGCAGGATGCTTTAACAAGGTGAGGGTCACCGTTTTCCACCGCGCCTGCTGGGCAATTTCTTCACCGGCCTACTAGCTGGCGGCGGGGCAGAGCCCATCGTGAACCCGGGTGTACCATTTGTAGCGGGAGCTGCTGCTGAAGCACCAAAAGGCGAAGCTGGCGATGCAGCAGGTGTCGCATTTGCCGAGGCGAATGAAAATGCACCTCCCGTATTCGACGATGAAGATGGCAGGCCAGCGTTACTAGTAGCCGGCGAAGCAGGCTGACTCCCTGTGAAACCGAACGGATTCGAAGGTGCAGTTGTCGAAGTGGGGGTATTGCTAAAGCCGTATGATGGAGCCGACGTGAAGGGGCTTACAGGATTTGACGTCGAGTTTGCACTCGGCTGACCAAACCCACTTCCTGATGCCGCTGATGGCCCGAACGCAAAGGTGGACGTTGTCGAAGGAGTCGTGGCAGACTGCCCGAAACCGCCCGTTGCTCCGAATGGATTTGTCGATGCAGATGCCTGAGAAGCCTCCGGTGCCTTCTGTGTGAACGAGAACCCCGGGCCTGTTGAGGCGGAAGTCCCAAATCCACCAAAGCTTGTCGGTGTGTTTGGCGCCTCCGTTTTGTTCTCTGCCGGCTTAGCGCCAAATGGATTACTGGAAGATGCAGTTGGACCGAACGCGAATGTCGAGCCACTCTGGGCAGTCTGGCCGAAGGGAGAGCTGGTCGCGGTAGGCTGGCTAAAGGAGAAACTAGTCGTAACCTTCAATGGCTCCTTGCCGTTGCCATTACCATTGGTATCCATACCACTACCCCGAATGGGACTCTCGTCCATGCTGACCTCCTGATCGTTCTTTGGCGGCGTTATCGGCATCGCGGGAGTAGCAGTAGCGAAGCTGAACTTGTTCGAATCATTCGGACCGTTGCTCGCACCGGAACCACCGAAAGGTGATGTGCTAGTCGCAGACTGGGCAGATGATCCAAATCCGAACATTGACGCCCCATTGGCGGTGCCAGGCGGCGTCGGTGAAGCGGACGCGAACGAGAAAGAAGGCTTCGAGGAATCAGGAGCCTCTTTAGGTGCAGTGCTGGAGGTTTGTTCGAAAGCGAATGGACTAGACGAGCCTGTTCCAAAGAGGGGCTTGGCCGCCTCCACAGATGCGCCGTTAGGAGTTGGGGCGGGAGACGTCGACGTCGGGCCGAATGCGAACATTGACTTCGCAGCTTCGCCACCACCACTGGAGTTAGAAGCACTAGGCGCCCCGAAGCCGGTCAAGTTTCCAAAAGGTGAGGGTTTGGGCTGTTCAGGAGCCTTCGCGGTCGATGGACCGAACACGAACGGAGAACTGTTGGATGGTTCATTGACCTTCGCCGGCGGTGCAAGACCTATGCTAGGGGCACCAGTGGCGGCGGACGCCTCAGCCTTAGCAGGGGTAGCAAACGAGAACGACACGGGAGTGGGTGCAACAGAAGAGTCCGCCGACTTCGCAGTCGCGCTAAAGCCAAAAGGAGAAGGGGTGACCGCCACGGACGCATCTGCAGGTTTCGCAGGAGCAAAAGAGAATGATGAGGCGCTAGGCGCAACGGCTGGCTTCTCTGGAGCCGCGGGTGTGAATGAAGATGGAGCTGCAGTTGAAGGTTCCGCTGGTTGTGAAGGTGCTGCAAACCCTGACGAACCAATTCCCGACCTGTCCACGCCCTTGCCTTTGTCCAGGGCACCAAATGATGATGCTGTATCTGGCGTGGCCGTTGTAGGCTTGCCAAACGGAGAGGTCGCAGCTTGGATGGTCACAGGAGTCGTTCCCGTTGCTCCAGATTGAGCGGGAATACCGGACGCAGACATTGAGCTTGCGTCCCCGGTCGAAGCGCCCCACACAGGCGGCGCCGACGTACCATTGGCCGCTGTATTGGAAGCATCATTCGTCGCCGAGGGGGGCATCCCTGGTTTGTTAAAGACTAACGGCGGCGGCGGTGCGATAGTCGCAGTCGGTTTGGAAAAGATGGAGGACTTGGAGAAGAAGTCCGGGATCTTCTCAGAAGCACCTGCTGTACTTTGTCCGCTCCCAGACGCCCCAGGCTCAGAGAGCTTCGGCAACGCCTTCGGTGCAGTACTTGCGAATGAAGCCTGAGGAAGAGGCGTAGCGGGCGTGAGCGAGATCTGCGGCACGGTCTGCATCACGGGCTTCGAGGGGGCCATCGCTCTTGCATCCGGCTCTGACCCAGCAGCATCCGTCGCGATCACTGTGGACGACCCGCCGGAGTCGGTCCGCATGAATCCCGATGTAAATGAGTCAGATGTGCGGTTGGCTGCTGCCTGGTTGGTCGGTGCCGAAGAACTTACGCGGCTCGTGCTGCTCAACGAGAACGGCAACGAGGCAATCGGGGCATCTTTGCCACCCTTGTCGAACGTAATCGACGTCTGCGCAAGGTCAGACACTGCATAAGAGGCGAATGGAGAGATACTTACGTCCTTAGCAAAGCTGAAGCCAGCGGGCGGTTTGTACATAGGCGCTGGTTTTGGCGGCTCCTGTGTCTCGCTCTCCATATCCTCGTCTTCGTCATCGTACAGCGCAGAAAACGTATTCTTTGCACGCAGAGCAGACGGCGCATGCTTCAGCGCTCCAGTACGCCCGACGCGCAGCAATGAAGGGCCAGTCGTAGGAGCGCCCGGGGCGAACTCGGGGTCGCCCAACGGGGCTTCAATCGAAACTTGAGACTCACGGGTCTGCGAGATTTCCTCTGCTGATTCTGCTAGCCCCATTGCATCTTCCCCTTCTTCTTGATCCCTACTGTCGTCCACGATTTCGTTCTCGTGCTCTTTCTCTACCTCTTCCTCTTCCTCTGCCCGGCGCTTCGCAAGCATCTTCTTGACGCCCCCTCGTCCGGCGTAGGGCTTCAATCCAGCACCATCCTCAGGAGCGACGCTCTTCTCCTTCTTGTCGGTTAAGTCGAACCATCTCTTATCCTTGATCTTACTGGGTTGTATATGCCTACGTGACTTCTTTGGCTTGAGAGCGTCTGGAATCAACGTAGATCCTTGCAGACGTGAGGGTAGTAGAGGAGTCTTGTAGATGTCCAGGTCGTTCAGAGCAGCCTCAGCGGGCATAGAAGGGCGCTTGGCCAACACAGGACCAGCAGACTCGGAGCGACCGATGATCAATGTACTGTGTTGTCCCAGTGGGGATCGGCTCTGTTCCGGGCATTAGCTGCGAAAATAGTAGAGGTGCAGCGAGAGCTCACTCTCTGCTGAGACTCCGTAATGGATCCAAGGGTCATCGTCCGCTCTGCAGTAAGTGGTGTGGACGCCGGCGGCGGCTTGACGAACGCTGGATTCGACTTCAGCGTTGAAACAGGAGGGGGCTCTGTCGCCTCGCGCGCGTGGTACTCGGGTGTAGGACCGAACGACTGGCTAGTCGATTGTGGGGTCATCGACGAATGCGAGCGCAGACTAAATCCGGCACGAGTAGGTGAAATCGTCTCGTCGCGCGAGGACGGCGGCGCGTAGATAGATTCCATAGATACATCGCGGGAGATAGCAGCCGGGTATAGTGCTGCCTGTTGAGGGGCCTGAGGCGGATCCATAGACATAGTACGCGCAATACTGTTTAAGGAGGCATAGTTACTGCTGGTGAGCGGAGAGAGCGTGTGGCGATCACGACGCGTCTGCGTCCTGGCAGGCTGCAGGACCACAGAAGACGACCGTCCATGCCCGTGAACACGACGAGGGCGACGCGATGGCTGGTTAGGAATAATACTCTCGGGAACATCAAGATAGCCTGCGGGCGCACTGTGCTGGGCCCGAAGCTGGCGCTGGTGGGGTGGCCCAGTCGAGGGGGAGGGGCTGCGAACACGTTGCCTCTTACGCTGCCCCTCCTCTCTTTCCGGCTCTAGCACCTGCGGGTTGCGCCTCCTCTTCCCGGGAATGTCCTCAAAGTCGCTCGGAGACTGAAACCAGGCAAGCGGGGTAGAGATGAGGGTTTTGATAGCACCAAAGAGCGATTGCGAACGGCGAAGGGTTTTTGGCGATCTCGCGCGTGCATAGGTTCTGGTGGTAGTATCTGCGGACATCATGGCGGTATGTGGGGAAAAGGAAGGGGCAGCTCCAGCGCGGACTGGTGTTTTTGTGTTCTCTCCGCCTGGCCAAAGCGCAGGCTGATGTCAAGCCTAGCCACCGTGACCGTCCGTGACACCTTGTGGCGATCGTCTTATGTACATATGCCAAGAATGGAAATTGTGGCTACTTACTCCTTCAACCGCTACAAGGCTATCCCAAGGATTGCTTAGAACGTGAAATTCACGCTATTGACATCTGTCACATGCTGTCACACCGCGTTTACACCCAACGCGCCGGACGCGACAACGCCTTCCGACGCGACGGCCTTGTCCACCTCCCTATTGTTCTCGGACTGCGCTCATACTCTGACAAGGTTTTATTCGACGAGTTGCTTTCTCGCGTTGCTCTAAACCCTTAAGAACGTCGAGTATCCTAGTCTTGCGCGCGGGATGCCTCGAGAAATCGTGACCGTGCAACTGGGCCAGTGCGGCAACCAAAGTGCGGCTTCATGACTGCGTGCGGACGCCGGATATGTCTCTAATTGACTGTACTCCAAGTGGGTTCCGTGTTCTGGCAGCGGCTGTGTGCGGAGCACGGCATTAACAAAGAGGGCATTCTAGAGGAGTGGGCTACTGAGGGCGGCGATCGCAAGGACGTATTCTTCTACCAAGCCGACGACGAGCACTACATTCCCCGTGCTATTCTGGTCGATCTTGAGCCTCGAGTGCGTTCGTGGAGCCTACCACACTGATTACAGTACCTAAGCCACGTCTCTCCTTGTAGGTAATCAACGGCATATTGACATCGCCGTATGCAAACTTGTACAACCCAGAAAACATATTCGTCTCAAAAGACGGGGGTGGCGCCGGGAACAACTGGGCGCAAGGTTATTCCGCCGGCGAACGAATATACGAAGAAGTCATGGAGATGGTCGACCGAGAAGCCGAGGGCAGCGACTCTCTAGAGGTGATCGTGCTTCACGTCCTCCTGAATGATGCTCATCGTGATGGCATTCAGGGTTTCATGCTCATGCACTCAATAGCTGGCGGAACCGGCTCGGGCCTGGGGTCCTTCTTACTCGAACGGCTTAACGACAAATTCCCTAAGAAGCTCATCCAAACGTACTCTGTCTTCCCCAACGCGCAAGAGGGAGACGTTGTCGTACAACCATACAACGCGCTGCTCACGCTGAAGCGACTTACAAACCATGCAGATTCGGTCGTCGTGCTCGATAACGGCGCATTAGCTCGAATATCTGCCGATAGGTTACACGTACAAACGCCAACCTTCGACCAGACAAATCAGCTCGTAAGCGATTGCAATTCAACATGGGAGATCTGCGTCATGACTTGTTCGTCAGGTGTCCACAGTAATGGCGGCGAGCACGCAAACACTAAGATACCCTGGTTATATGAACAACGACCTCGTAGGGATCATCGCATCGCTGATCCCTACGCCACGATGTCACTTCCTCATGACCTCATATACACCCTTCACCAGCGACCAGATCGACAAGGTTTGTCCGCTTTAGATGACGTGCGTAGAAAACCTTACCGAACATGTCCAGGCTAAGCCAATCAGGCGTACGACTGTGCTCGATGTCATGCGTCGCCTCCTCCAACCCAAGAACCGCATGGTCTCAACGACGCCCAGCAAGACCGCCTGCTACGTCTCAATACTGAACATTATTCAGGGCGACGTTGACCCTACCGATGTATGCAGTCAATTATTATGTATGCTCACACTCACGCTGACGGCTGTTAACCCTCGCAGGTCCATCAATCGCTGCTCCGCATCCGCGAGCGCCAGCTCGCAAACTTCATCCCATGGGGCCCGGCTTCCATCCAGGTCGCGCTGACACGCAAGTCACCCTACATCGCGACCAACCACCGGGTGAGCGGCCTCATGCTCGCGAACCACACGAGTATCGCCTCCGTATGTCGTCTCTCCATGCTCTAGGCACGCCACTCGGAAGCTGACCTCAAATGCGCGCCTCGTGCAGCTCTTCAAACGCATGATTGACCAATTCGACCGGCTGCGGAAGCGCAATGCGTTCGTCGAGCAGTACAAGAAGGAGAAGATGTTCGAGAACGGTCTCGAGGAGTTCGACGATGCGCGGTGAGTCCTTATCGGACGTGCCGCGAGGCGTGCTTCTGACTGACAACGTTGCACCGCGAAGCGCAACTGCCGAGGAACTGCTCAAAGAATACAAAGCCTGCGAGAGTCCTGACTACATCACATACGTACGTAGGATAAGCTTGCATGAGGATTTGGCAGCCAGACTAATAGCGCTTCCAGGGATCGAACGACGGAGAACAGGCTTCTTGATACTGTGTGTTGTTGTTGTAACATTACTGTCTTGTGTCCTGGGTCGCTCTTTTGTTCTCCGTGTAGGTCACAGCTTGTATAATCACCCTCTCAAAACATATTCAAAACATTGGCAATGTTGTCATGCGATAACACTGACGGGTAAGGAGAGCTCTACTGTGACAACTGGCAGGAGACGCCATCGATTATACAGATGCAAGATGCAGAGCGCAGAAAACGAAGTCCGTTATGCCGTAGTGACGTGTCGTGGAGGGGTCGACCTACGGTCCCTTCGGCCCCCCCAGCTTCTTGCCAATGTCCGCACCTGCGTGAATGCTGTGTGAGAGACTGACTGTTGCTGTAGAAGCTAGTGGAGGGATACGTACCACGGAGTTTCACCCCGAGAGTGCGTTCAAGCTTGCTGAGGATCTGCGGGTTCGGGATGGCCTTGCTGGACTCGTAGTCCTGGATGACGGACGGCTTCTCGTTTACCTTCTGCGCGAGGTCTTTCTGCGAGAGCTGCTTCTCCATGCGTGCGGTCTGGATGGCCTGGATGCGGGGGTTCCTATATGAGCACACGACCAGGAAGCGACAGGCCACGCTGTGACGCATACCTTTCCAACGGTGGGCGCGATCTTTGGTGGTGGCGCGACCTCGTTTTCGCGGTCAAGCTTGGCTATCCGCTGATGGTCGGTGCCTGCGCGAAACAGGGACGGACGTCGCTGTCAGCCACAAATATCCAAGGGGATATGGAGAGGAGGTACGTACCCTGATGGGCCTTGTTCAGCCCTGCGGTCACCTTCTTGTCTGTCGCCACGACGGCACCAACTCGTCGAGCCTGCAAGCCCTGTCAGACAACCCATCCATCTCAAGAACATCAAGAGCGACGTACAGCTGGAGGATATGGCAGAAAATACTCGTGAGCACTGTGCGAGGCCAGGCGATCTCACCTACATACCATTCAGATCTGAAGCATTCCTGGTAACTTTGGGAGCCTTGGCCTTGAAACCGATAACGGTCTTGCTGTCCCAGTCGAGGTTGCTCATGGTGTCTATGGTCTAGGAGTGTGTGTTGAAGTTGGGTGTGAGGACGTGGAAGATGTGCAAGTGGTGTGGAGCAGTGCGGTCGCTTACGTCTCACTAAATATCGGATGCGCTTGTTCCGTGTCACGCCTGAGTCATTCATTTATAAAGTACTCTTACACCTTTACCACAGTCTGCCTAACACTTTGAGTACATGTTCGGAGCCGATGGGAGCACGCAGAAAAACATGAAAATATGAGTCCATGCTCTAGAGGTCCTTCCGTTGATTGATGAGATGGTGATATAAATGATGTGCGGGGGCTTTTCTTTGCTCTAATACGCCCCTCCTGCTTGTTTTGTCCAAGGCCGGTCGACCTATGCACGCCTCTTCAGAAAGACGAGTGCGGTGCAAGCAGCTCCTACGATGACTCCAGCGGCGGAGGACAACAACAGGCCGGATATCTTCTGCAGAGCAGTCTTTGTCGACTGCCGCGGTCGCCCGCCGACCTCCTGGACCTTGGGCACCCGGTTGTACTCCCAGCCGTCGTCGAGGAGCTTCGCCATCATCTCGCCGTCCAGCGCCGCCAGGTCCTCCATCTCCCACGCCGTGCACACGTCCACCATCCACCGCATGCGCCGCTTGCCCAGCTCCCCGCCCACGCCCGGCGCGCGCTCCCGCAGCTTGTTCCGCAGCTGCCCGACCTTCTCGATCGCCTCGCCCGCGTGCTCCGGGAGGCTGTTCTCGATGCGCCGCCGGATGATGTTCGCGAGCTTCGGGCTCTGGCCGTTCGTCGAGATCATGATCTGCAGCGGCCCGCTGCGAATCTGCGAGCCGAAGTAGAAGTCGCACGACGGCGGGATGTCCGCGACGTTGATGGGGACCTTGAGGGCGCGCGCCATGGCGCAGATCGTCCGCGATGTCTCCACGTCGTCGATGGCCGTCAGGACCATGTCCACGTCGACGAGATCCTCCGGGCCTGCAAACGTGCGGTCGTGGTACGTGATGCGGTCCGACGACTCGATGAAGCGCTTGGTAAGGGGGTGAAGTCCGTCGCGCGGCGCGATGAGCGTGACGAGAGCGTCGGCGACCAGAACGGACTCGATGCGGCCCGATGCGACGTCGCCGCCGCCGACAATGAGTACGCGTTTACCCTTGAGCTGCCATGCGAGCAGGAGAGACCCGCCGGTGAACGATGAAGTGTCCGTCGCCATTGCGCTTGAGCTGGCCGTCACCGCTCCTGTATGACATCCTGAGTCACGTGCAGTGATCTCATTGGTCAGGATGTCGCGCAGGTATTCTGGCAGTAATCATTACGTCGAGAGGTCACCATGGAATCGGAGAAGGATCAAAGGAAGAGGTTGTGATAGGTGCGACTATTGAAGCCAACAAATCCAGCAGAGTTGCAAGTGAGGAAAGCAATATATTTCGATTATTCTCTCCGCGAAGGGAGCTACGACCGCTGGCCCGAGACCTCTCTCTGCGCATCAGCACACGGCGTGTCAGTGCTGTGTCAGATATCCGGTGATCTTCTGGATGAAATTCGGTTGAGTAGTGATTTGACCATGTACGCACGCGATCTACTTGCTCTTACACTCAGCCTCGGCGTTTGCAGAGCATTTATTCGTGATCGCCGCGGCCATCATCTACGCCGGTGTAGCTTGCTTGCCGCGACGCGCTTTATGGGGACACCTAGTTAGTAGTGATGTTTGTAGACAAATCAAGCACACTTGTCCACTTCTGGTATAGTCAAAGCTTGTCTAGAGTGTCAGGAGAAGTCATCAACTATTCAAAGGTATGATACCCAGAAGTATGACATGCACAGCAGATCTCGGGGAAACCTTAAGAGTTCATCTTCAGCTGAGAACTGGCCAGAGCTGTGATAGCGGCAAGGCTCTCGTAATCTTCGCCAAGGATATCTCGATGTTGTCCTGGCCGTCCGACGTCGCAGTGAATGAGGATGAGTTCAAACCATGACAATCTGTTTGAGCCTGAAGTCACAGCCCCCGAGCGTCGAGCGCTATGCGCTCGAGTCATGGCAGGCGTTGCCGCGTAATGTCCGTAAATAGAGACAGCGAGAAGGTATACATAGATTGAACGAGCGGCAGAGCGACTCATGTCAAATATAGCGTGGTATAGACAACGACAGTCGACGAACAGATGGATCGTTGCGAGAGGGAACACCCCACATCAGCCGCTGACAGCGGCAGCCTCCCTCGCCGAGGATGCACCGCCCTCGCAAGCAAACATCGCTCCCGGCCGCAAGACACTCGTACATACTTGGACCACGAGGACGACGCGTTGTGCATCCCGGACGACATACCAATTGCGGGTACCTCGCTCGCGGCCTTGATCGTAAAGTCAGATTGATACTCGATTGCGACGATTTTCGAGGACATCATTGATGTGTTCCTTGGCGCTGTCCTCTCGTGAGCACTGACGTCGAACAGCCACCATCATGACGGCAGCCGAGATGGCATCGGCCGCGGCCAGGACATTAATGTGGACAGTCTGAAAAAGCAGACCTTCGCTGTGGCGGACAGGGATTGTTGGTCGCCTGTGGCAGCAGGACAATAGCGACGACGCGGCGGCCTTGGAACGGTCCAGAAAGCTGCAGAAGACAAATTGAGAGCAGAAATACGAAGACATGTGGCCATGGCGACGGCTGTCAGAGAGTTCATCACTGCCGTTTCGGAGAGCTGCTTGCCGCCATCACCCCGCTTGTACTGCATCCCTATATCCCCCCCAGGTGCGTTAGCCGGCTCCCTACCTTTCGTTCCTCCTTTCTTCTTCGGTTTCTTCGTCTGACCCTTTCGTCTTTCAGACGTTGAACGTCTTTTCCTGTTCAACTTCTTTTGTCACTGCTGCGTCAGTGTGTTGCCTGGTGCTACAGCCTCCTCTGTTGCGTCCATTCTCTCCGGAAGAGCCTTCATAGTTCCTACATTCCCTCTTTCTCCTCGAGTCGCCCCGATATTGTCATCCGCAACCAACACACACAACGTGAGTACTGGTGATATTGAATTAGCAGCTTTGATTCTACTCAGCCATCGCCATCGACCTGTAGCTTCCAAATCATCACCCCATAGTTGACCTCCAACATGTCTCGCCAAATCAAGTACATCATGGGCTTCTGGGGCTTCTGCGACTTGCTCCTGCTCGCAGCTGCCATCGCGTCCATTGCCTTCTCTGTCATCTGGCGGCAACCCAATCTCCTCATCAACCTGACGATGGACGCCCAGCACCTCACCGGTGCGTCGATTCAGGCTCGTTGGGCTCGGTCATGCTCATGCTTTACTTGACAGCCGGGCTCATCATGGGTGTCATCCTCCTTTTGTCTTGGCTCATCTCCATCGGCGCGCTCCTCTCGCCCTCCCGTTCTACCACCGGTTTTGTCGTCCTTAACTGGGCGATCGTGGTCGACTCAATAGCAATCCTGGTAGTGGGGACTTCGCTCTGGTTCTACACGCTGCACATCCAGGACAACTACCTCGCCATATGGGAGGTGCAGTCCAACGCAACAAAGATCGCGGTGCAGGACCTGGTGAGTGGCCAGGCCACACATGCGTCGGCATGCCGATGATTCTGACCCGGTCGTTTACCCCAGTTCCAATGCTGCGGCTACTTCGAGCCCAACGACACGACCGTTGCTATCGGCGGGTTCTGTTCCAGCCCGGCCTTCGTCGCTGGGCTCTACAACGCAACAGTCACCACCGCCAACGCCTGTGTGGGCCCGATCACGGGCTACGCTGAGCCTATGCTCAATCAAGTCTTCACGTACGTGTTCCCACACGGCTCATGCCGCCGGATCCGTGCTGACTGCCGCCTGTTTCTCTGTCTCTCCCCGCAGTCTCGTGAGAATCTTCCCTCGTTTGCGTAGGTATGGCGACCTTATCGAGCGTGCGTTTTCCACAGGTATACGGCTTCATGGCGGTTGTCATCAGCTTGTTCCTGGCGTCGCTCTGTGTCATCAAGACGGTGGGTCTGTCGTCCGCACCCCGCGCATCCATGTTCGCTCACGCGTGTCACGTGGTCCCCCTCCCACAGAGGCAGGAAAAGGAGCGGTTCAGAAAGATCGACGCCAAGCGTGGTGGCCGTGGCTTTGTTTAGACGCATGCGCATCCGGACGCTCACCAATGTCTCATCTCGCTGCCGCGCTTTCCTCTGGGGTGTCCCGCCACTGTACTCCTACTGTCGCATCGTTCTCCGTTATCCCTCGGCGCGCCCTTCTCTCGCCTCGTCCGCGGCCCAGATGGTCGGTTTTGTTCCTCTTGGTGTGTGCTACTACTCTATCGACAACTCGTGTATTTTTCTACTTCTTTTGTCTTTCTTTGCGTGCAATGGCATTCACATTTGGGTCGGCGAAGAACCCAGGAGGATACATATCGTGGTGTGATGTTGGCATGGGGGCGTCTCGGAGTCGAAGGTAGCCGGTACGTGGTTTCCGTTTCTTCTGTGGCTCGTTGGCCGGGGGCTTGGCGCACCTGCGTAGCGACTGAAGTACTGATGACACGCGCGACGTCCAAGCGCCTTGGCAAGGCAAGGCATCTGGGCCACCATCAATCATCCGCCACATCTTGTCGAACCGCCCCTGGATCCTGAAGGTCTCATCTCTGACATCACAACGTCAACTTAGATTCTGACGGGACACATGCGTGACAACTTGACAGGACACCTTAAGACAAGCTGGGTGGGACCAAGTACAGGTGACAGAACATCGAGACAGCTGCCGATGTAGCTCCTGTTCTTGTCAGCGAGTTACGAGTGGGGCACACCGGCCCAGCCCGAGACAGAAACAGCACTTACCGACACGCACTCGTCGATGTCTCCGAGTGCAAGCTTGGTAATCCGGGATTCTGATGTCCCACTGGACGTTCTTCTGCTGTCGGTGTCTCCAGGCTGCCCGCCACCTGAAGCCGTAATTGGCCTTAGTACGTCATAGCCATAGCAGCAATGTCTCCGCGACGAGGCGCACTGCTTTGTCCCTCGCATTATCTGGCAAGGAGCGCATTCGGCAAGAGCTTTCTGCGTCTGACCGCATCTATAGCCGCGACGTGTGCGACTCTCTCAAGGCCTTATGACTGAGTTCGGGGCATCTCTCTCTTAATCTAATGCCAATGTGAAATGATATGAGGCCATATGCCTGTATGCCGGTGATCTTGGCTAGTAGGACGTGCGGGTGGCATACCACATTCGGAGGAATAGACGATAGATTCTGGCTTCCGAGTTATCTGCTGAGGAACCCGGCCCTATGCGAGCAGTGTCGGTGCATGTCATTCAATGTATTGACTTCGGCTAGAGGACGTACTACCCGCCATAATGCATAATGATTGACGTAACCATTGAAAGTCCTAACTAAACGACGTAAAAATTACAATCATCAGCAATTCATTAGGAGAGTGGCTATCATGACCAATACTACGAAGGGAAGTTAAGAGTCCAATTCTCCGAGCGTCCACAAAGTGCGAGAGTCTGCTATATTGTCCATGCGCAAATGTCCAAGAAGTCTACACCCGCACAGCACGCAGCCGCTTAGGCGCACAAGTATCTGCTTGGTACAGCCCGTCATTGGTTGTCGAGGGTTCGTATACCACAATATATGCGCTGCCTGTCGCCTCACAGAGCGCAAATTTGTCTGTGCGTTCGTTGACGGCGATAGTGGCATACCCATTGGCGTCCGACTGACGGAAGACCCCGCGTGAGCAATCTCCATGTGTGCAAGGCGAGAAGTACGCACCACAGCGCAGTAGGTGGCATCGTTGGACAGCCCGCTCGAGGGCAGGGTCACCGTGAACTCAAGCTCCGAGCCGGGGTTGACCGCGTTGTCGTACACGGCGAGCCCTTGTTCGTGAGGGCCAGGGTTCGGGATCAGCGCGCCTCCAACGAGGCTGAAGGTCGGAAAGTCGCTCTGGTAGCTCGCCGAGATGGTCTGGAGGACGAAAAATATATCAACGATCCACGGGCGAAGGAGGTTACGGTTCTATGGCTCACCGATATCCACCAGGTACTTGCTTCGCCACTCGTTCCCGGGGGACCAGTAGTCAGGGCGAGAGGGGCACCGGTACTGTTATCCGGAGCGTCCATGTCGATAGCCGCAATAGTGAAGTTATACGACAGGGAATCTGTCGAGCCCGCGCCGAGAGCGTTGCAGGGGTTCTGGCGCGCCGACAAGGTAGGGAGGGCGCTGGCTGTTGCAGCGAGGACAGCGGAAGCGATGGCAAAAGCGAACATGTTGATCGAAATGGATGTGAAGAGATTTATAGGAGGAATGATCAATGTACCTCGAAGAGTAAGGTAGAGGAAGTCGGGGTGCGGTTTTGAAATGTAAACACCCGTATTTATATGCTGCAGACTCGTCTTCACAGAGTGATTTGCGGGCTGTATTTACGGAGCCGATGAGCTTGGTATAGGCCTACCAAGGCCGGGATAGAGTCGTGCAGATCTTCGCCAGCATAGCAATTGGCGAACACTCACCGCTGTAAGTCGAAACCACGGCGTTCTATGACCGCATTTCGTGGCAAAAACATTTCCGCAGACCGGGCATCATCCCAGGCATTGCAACTGCGTGTTGCATGCAATCTTTCGCAACTCAGACTTTCGTCAACTTGATCGTCCGACATCTGCAACTACGTCCTTGGGTTCTAGCCACGACTATTGCCTTACCTTTGGTTAGATCATTACACTTTAGCGACAGACGCAGACTGAACCAGAATGTCTTATGACGCACTGCCGGCGTGCAATCAGCGCATCAAAACCCAATTGCATCGCCATGCGGACACAGCAATCGGTACATGGATGACGAAGGCTACTCAAAAGCCACAAGCAAAGTGAACTGCTGTGATCCGCATGCTGATGCACTGGTTAGTCAAACAATGTTTCAGGTGCAGCCATGAGGGATGCATGCTCGCTGGAGTGGCAGCAAGCAGCAGGGCGCGCTTGACAGACAACATAGAACGCCCTCGTACCCAGAATAATGTGATTTGTTGTTCAGAAGAGAGTACAACAGAGGAGGTTCGTACTCGGACAACGCTATGAATCAAAAGGAGGGCAGTGAATCACTCACTTGCTAGATGCTCGTAGTTATGCGAGTGCTCTGTCTAGTTTCACGAATGAGAACACATGGTACATATTTCGTCTCCAGTTTCATTCGAGGACGACAGCAGGACGAGACGAGACGTTGTTGACGTTGAGATGTGGTTGTGCCTCTGCGCAGGCAGTCCATAGGTCTATATCCGGTACTGAGGAACTTCGTCGCAGCCAACATTCACGCCAGTCACAAGCGTAAGAGTGAGAAGGTTTATGCAGACGGAAGCGGTAATGAGAATTATGTACGACAGAGGAGCTAGCAGGACTGCACAGCCCAACGCCGCGGCGGAGTAGCCAGTGCGGTCGCCATGAACGGTCCCCCTACCCACCTAGGCAATCTCTAGTCTCTCCTTTGTTATGCTCTGTCATGTCAAATCGCAAGTCTCGTAAACGTCGCCGGACGGAGGCCTTCCAGGACGAGGGCCAGGACGAGGCCGTCCAGTCAATATCTCTCGAAACTGGACCAGCTGATGCTAGCGCTGAGCAACAAGAACCTCTTTCCGTAGAGATAGACAATCAGCAGGACAAGACAGACGTGGCAGAGCAAGAGTGTGTTGATGCGGTCGAGGTCATATCAGACCCAGAGAGGATACAGAAAGAACAGGAGATATGGGATGTCATTCGGGAGGAGCAGTATGCTGGTGAGCCTGCTGCCGCATTCGCCGTTAAAGACATGCTAAAACATGTTATTCTTTACTAGTTCTCGAGCAATTGCCGTTGTCGCTGCACCGTTCTTTCACGCTGATGCAAGAGTTGGATCAGCAAGTGCATAGTACGTGATATGTTTGCTTGGGCCTAGTACGTTCATCCAACCATACGGGATTGGTTCAGGGCACGAAGAACAATTACAGGCTGGTCTACGGCAATACTCAATCATGCGAAAAGAGCTCGCACGCATTGTGAATTCCGTTCCCGACACCCAGGCTGTCGAATCGAACGATGAAGAGAAGACAAACGTCGCGCAGCCTGGCCCTGAAGATAGCTCTCTCGCGAGGGAGGACCATACGTTGCTGCCTGACGCGCAGCCAGGAGAGAATGGGCACGCAGAACAAGCACCCGAGAACGCTAGTCCTGGGCGAGCTGCATCTTCCGTCCACTCCGAACCTGAGCCTGCCCAGAGCCGGGGATCATCGAGACGCCTGCTTGTGCAGGTTGGACAACTCGCCGACGAAGTCGAGCGCGCCGCGAATGAGAAGGTCAATGTCGCTCGGTATGCGCATGACTTGGTGAGTACACTCTGTCCGCTAGCACCTGCTCAAATTCTGATTGAAGCGTCCCTAGATCGACCGATACATTCGCGATCTCGATCGCGCCATTAAGGAGCAGGAGACCTCTATCTCTCTGGGCCTACGTCCTGGGGCGTACCCGGCGTCCATCATGCTGCCGGAGGTTGTCGCACCCTCAGGCCTCCGTGCTCGCGTCGTGCCAGAGCCTTTGGCTGAAGAACCCGTTGTGGAGGCGCCAGCAGCGCCTGAGGAGGCGGCGGCGGCGGCGGCGGACACGGGCGAGACGACGCTGGGAATAGTCTCTGAGGAAGCAGCCGCGCCGACACATGGTTCCCCTGTGCGTCCTCAGCGCAGGAGGCGCCGTCCACCGCGCATCACGATGAAGAAGAAGGTGCCGAAACTACTGGATCTCATCGAATTCGTTCCCGTGGACATGGAAGTGCCGAGTGGAGGATCAGGTCTCAAGCTGACGGTGCCGCCGCTCGCGGCAGTGATTGCGGCGAATGACCCCCCAATCGACCCGAACGAAGAGCGATGGTGTTTCTGCAACCAGGTATCCTTCGGGGTGGTAAGTGGGTCCACTGCGCGATTCGGCCCAATACTTATCTTTGTTGTATCCGTAGATGGTCGCCTGCGACAACGAGAACTGTACCCTCCAATGGGTGAGCGTTGATCATTACTGTTCACATAGCGATTTAATTGGCTCATTTTTTCAGTTTCATCTTGGATGTGTCGGCCTGACAGAAGCGCCAGCGGACGATGAGAAGTGGTACTGTCGAGATTGTGCCCCGCTTATGGTTGCTTCCTCGCCGAAATTGCGCAGTAAGCGTATCAGCAGCGCCACGCGCAAATGATCTGTTGCAGCCCATGTGTATTGTATGTACGTACGATGAAAGAGGTTTCTCAATGTTGTATGCGTTTTCACCAATGACCCATGCGCTACTACGGAGGATGCAGTGCACCGTGTACTGATCTCTGTTCCGTTTAACCTAAGTACATACTCATCATATGATCTCCTGGAAGGCAGGCATGCAAGTGGTGCCGCGTCTGTGAGTAGGATAACTGAAGGGGCTTCACTGCCCCAGACGTCTGGCGTCAGATATGCTGGTCCCGCCGCTGTCCATGACTATAAGTAACGGTGCGCGAACAGCCTTAGAAACTCAAAGGGATGAGTGCAGAGACAATCAGGATCGCAGTTGCGAGTGTGAGATAAACGATATGATTTTGGAGCCAGCAAGATGCTGAGGAGTCTACGTTCGAAATGCTCTATATCGCAGAAGATAGGCCCACGCAAACGAGTCGCATCTTATGCGTGTTTGAGTATTTGCCTTGTTCAATGATCCTTCGCTTGTCGTATCAAACTGGCCGAGTTAGCCCGCCTTGGTTTGATGATGCACTTAAATGGCTTGGGATGCCTGCGAATACACTGTTTAAGACATTGTCAACCTTGTGGGGAGGTACTTGCCTGATGCTATGCTCAGGAAACTCGAGGTCTAGCGGTATCTCCTTCCCTGATCCATCCACGGCAGGCGTTATCTTGAACGCGTAGAACATGGATGCAATGGTGATCCAGAGGTGGGTTTCAGCGAGGACAGACGCTAGCACGCCCAGAGTGAACACAGTGTAATAGTATATAGAAGCACCAGGTACCGTCTACCGAATCCATACGCAGGTCCTCTGGGATCTGGCTGGATGACAGCACCTTCTTTATTAAAAAACCGGTCTGGATTAAATTTGTGGGGTTCAAGGTAGACTCGAGGGTCGTACAGCATTGCCCTGTTGTAGAAATGTCTACTATGAGCGACTTGTGAGACAACATCATTTCATACCACGTATTAGCGATAACGACGCAGTTAGCAGGAAGACAGTAGCCGTCATATTCGTCATCCTGAGATAGCCGATGCGGCACACCTGAGCAGAAAGAACGTGAGCAAATGATGTTTTGTGTACTTTCCGGGCGCAACTTGCCAACGGGAGTCGTTGCACCCCAACTAAGCCATGATAAAACACGATAGGTGAGCAAGGGCGATAAAGATACGCATGAAACAGATAACGGAGCGTTTCAGTAATAATTGAGTGCATGTAGGGCAGCCGAGCACGGTCTTCAAAAGTCGGCAGACGATCCTTGCCAATCACACTATCCATCTCGTCCTGTGCACGCATCTGTATTGCTGGGTCCGCCACCAGGGCAATCATGGCGGTCATCAAAGCCGACATGGTCTGATGGGACGTGAGATTACCCGGTTACAGGCACAGTTCACTACGCACCGTTTCGAAGCCACCCTAATGTTTTGTTCAGCACTTAGCCGTCGTCGCAGAAGTGGTCATGAAAAGGCATACCGGAATAAGTGATCGCAGCAGTGCCTCTTATAACTTCGTCGTCATCACCCTTTGTCTCCTCAAGCAAAGTGGTGGTATAGCATGGAACCGCTGTGCCTTGGGTCTAATCGGCCCACATCCTGAGTACACGCGCGTTCTTCCGTGAGCACGACATCCTGCTCACCAGCCTTTCCTTCACGTAGTTGAAAGGCTTATAGATGAAGTCATGCAGATCCTCCCTTGTTCCGGGAGAAAGGCGTTTGATCACTGCCCCAGGGAACCAATCAAGGAGGTGTCTGATCAGGAAACAATTCAGGCATTCTGCGCAAGAGATACATACTCCAAGGCACGAAGTCAACGACGTGCGCGCCGACGGCGCTAACGGCCTCGATGGTCAAGACACCCTTCTCAGCGATGCGAATGAAGGGTTCTTCCAATGACTTAACCTCGTGCCCATACGTGAGCACCATTGTTACACCTCCCGCGAGCCTTGAGGTCAATTTCAGCGTTATGTACGAACGTGTGGCGTATAACATACCGTTTGATGTGTGCCGTGAAATTGTCTGGATCGTCCAGGAAGTCATTGAACAGGTGGTGTGCTTCCTTGAGTTCGATGTTGTAGTACTTGGGTATGTTCTGTTTATGAAAGAATTGCTGAAGGTATTTGCGGTGCCGCTTCCACTTCTCGCCGTAGTCCATGATCGGCAGGGCCCACTTCTGTTCTGTTGAAATATGAGTACTCGTTGCCGTCATGAGAAGCGCAAGCATGCGCACCCAGCCTATTACTTCACTGGCCATAGCGAAGAATGGCCGGTGGGAGTATTTCGCACTCCTCTTGTCCAATAGCTCGTGAGCCATCGTAGCGGAATTGAGAACGACAACTTCTCTGCCCAAGGTGTGGAAATAGACAATGTCACCTAAGCAAGCCCGGTCAGCATATGGTGCGAGATAAAAGTGAGGCACAAATCATATCGCTCTGACCACTTTGCGAATGTCTTCCATGGTGCTTTCGAAGGTATATCGCGGAGATTGCCAATGAGAGGATACGGCCGCGGACCTGGTGGGAAGGATGCACTTCGTCGCTTTCTCAAGTGTTGCACTATACCGTATGCTACTACCGACAACACGGTCGCGGCGTAAAGCTGAACATTAGCTGACATATCCAATCAAGGGGCCAGAGAATTTTGCCCCGGCGAGCGATAGGATGATGTTTGCCCCAATCTGCAAGCTGTAAATATATACGTGTGCATAAGCGCGACAGAGACATGCGTATAAAGCCAGTGACATTGTTTCCCTGAAACCCGACAAATGCCAATGCTATTCGACAGCCACCGCTCGCACCCATCACGGCGAGACCGAATGGCGCCGCTTTAGGAGAACAGGGCCACTCGGCGCTGGTAGTCGGTCTTGAAATGTTCAGCAGTATACAGGACTCATCATACACAGGTCGTATTTTTCATTTAAGTTATCAATTTCCGTGTCATGTCAGTACGCGCCAGATGGGAGCAGTTCAGCAGAGTGGGTACTAGTAGCAAGTAAATCAATACCGTTCAGGCGCTTAAACAATTTGTTCATGGGCGCTTTATGCAGTTCGGAGTCAGTACTGCAAAGTCGTCTTCTACTTTGATATCCTATATTGCGCTAGTCTGCAAAAGGACCCATGTGGAGCCCTTTAGGCACGAATGTCCTACACGTGTTACGCTACGGAGCGTGCGTCAAGCATCCTACGAAGAGCAGTCATGGTCGGCGAAAAACAGAAAGTTGCAAGGATACCCGGGCGGTCGGCAGACCCCCTAAGTCGGCAGGGACCTCTCGGGATGTTCGCAATCCGATCATCCATTTCGGCTCCTGGGCCAATCAGGCGAGGGGACCGACTTGGGGTGTGCCGACTGCCCGGGTACTACGGTATAGTATGTGCAATTCCTCCTACCATCTGGACCGGTAGCCTCGATAAATGCAGGCGCCACTGAGAGACCTATATTGGATGAAATCCATCCAGTGAAATGTACGGTATTCGTGTACTTTTCAGACGCAGAGCGCATGCGTTTTCATCCGGACAGTGGCATTTTCATCCAGCGAGAGTGCGAAATAAGAGTGTGAAATTCATCCGAAATTTCGAACAAAGTGCACCCCATTCATCCGGCGCTGGATTTTCTGGATTCACCCGGATAATGGGTGAAAACTCCATCGCGATGGATGAATTCCACCAGTAAGAACACGAGCAAAACCCTCGTCATAGCGGATGAATTTCAGCAGTAGTGAGAAACAAATGTTTCCAGCAAATAGCTGAGTAGATCGGCACTCGAGCCCAGGGTAGGATACATCGGTCAGAAGACATATATATCATCTATCAATACGCATATTACAGGGTTCTGTCATGCGAACATTCAATCACTATCTTATGCGCGAGCTCGAAGCCTCTATCCTTGCCATCTCAAACCGCACGCGCATGATGCCTAGCTCACAAGTCTTTCCCCTCCCTACGAGCACTCTCGTGCTCGATCTCTTCATCCTCTTCAGTTGCCCAATCGCGCACAAAGTGTTCAAGACAGGGCTGTGTGCCTGACATATTATTAGTGCCATTTCCTGCAATTGAGATGTGTGCTTACCAGAAGCATGATGTGTCCGATATTTGTCTTATCATGTCGATACCGTGGTAGACTAAGGTGAGAGCTATTAGCAACGATGTTAATAGTGCATTTGTGTTGATCACTCAGAGATACTGTGAGTTCTGGTCAAGGTTCGGCAAGGAACCCACTACTCACCTGGATCGACTCAAACAGTCAGTTGTCACTCTCTAGTCCCATCTCCACCTGCAAGTCGAACTCGTTACCCGTGGAGCAACTTTGTTCGCTAAACGATGTACCTTCGAGTCACCGAACCTTGGCTTTGAACGCTGACACCGCACCTTTTTTTTGCTCTTCGACAATGTTCACAAATGCGGAGACCCTAACATACTCCACTTCGCATGTTTCTTGCTGTGCATATGGCTACCAGGTCCAACGTCCATTGCACCGTAAGCGTGAGTCGTCGATATGACATGAGGAGAGATGTTGAGTGACGGGAGTCGACAAGTCCGGTTGCAAGAGAGGTGTGGTGCTGCGTGTTACCTCTTATGCTGACCAACCCGTTGGAGCATCCTTCATCCTAAATCCGGTAATTTGTTTGTCTCCCCTAGGCAGCCTACAATAGAGCGCCCTTTTTGATGGTCAGAGGATGGGCACTCTATTGTATATGTGGTGCAATGAGTTGAAGAGCGCATTTGCGTTCGCGGTCGATGGACGCTCGCGCAGAAATGATCTGTACATTAGTAGCCATTAGCAGAATTGATGCAATGTATCAATTGTTTGCCTTCATCATTCTGCATGATGAAAACCCGCCGCTTTTCTGGTGAAATTCATCCGTCAGGAGGGCCGGGTGGATTTCATCCATTCACGGTGTTGACTGCGTTTCATCCGCTTTTCACACCCTTGCCGTGTGAAATCGGACATTCACACGGTAAACGGAGCGAATTCACGCGGAACTGGTCTCTCAGTGAGGCTGGGTCAGCTGTGGAGAAGGTCAACTGTTTCATTTCTTCTTTGTTTTCATCATCCACCACATTCCAATTTATGAGTCGTGACGCAGCCATGGCACTTATCGCTCAGAAGCGGGGATCCTCCGATCCTCACTAATTGACTACAGGTTCCGTCATCATGCGTTCATCAGACCGACGTTCGGATCAAAAATACACGTAGTCAAGGCTGTTAGTGTGTTACATTCTGGATTGGTTGGTTAGAAGAAATCCGGGCCTAGTGTGAGACATAGGAGGGACGGCGAGCCCAAGTTCGTCGTCTCCCTGCCGGCACTGTAAAGGTGCCGCTCATGTTCTTGGTTTTTCTTCACTCTTCAGCATTCCATGCCATGAACCCCTTTATGTTGCTGTAATCTCCCATTTTCGGTACGCCAGACCTCCTACCACTCAGTTTCACATGGTGTTGTGCCAGTCATCAATTGTTTGTGCGCCTGGCATTTGGCCACCCGAGCCCAGACGAATTTGACAACATGTACCGTGTTGTAATATGCACTAATAGACCCCGTCCTAAATTTCCAGATTACGGCCGCTTGGAAATGTATTTCAAGTGCACAATGAGGTGCCCTTATCACAATTTACAACATGGGAGATTGTCGACGGTGTGTTTGCCTTGGTATCTCGTTGCCTTGACTATTTTGACCTTGAACTAGATCGTATTCCCTCCTGGAGAAGGCGGATCGGATAATGATCGCGCAGAAGGCTCCCAGCCTCGGCCACGTACCTTGGCCACCTCTGGCGATTTGGCCTCGCACGAACGACTGTTGGAATTTTGAGAGCGGACGCTACTTTGGGAGCAAGGGCCTACAGGTCCAGAAGACTCGATACGTGCCTTTACTTCCGAAGGTGAAGACTGACCCGACGCTCAAACAAAAGCAGGTAGTAGTATCCTTGGTGGATCTGTGACGAGAACTTCGAATATAGAATCTCTTGTATCTTAACGAGGTACGAGCGACGTCGAATCAAGCGACTACCGGTCAGGGCTTCAGTGAGGTAAGATCAACTCTTTATTACTGTACCTAGCGACTACCGGTCACTTTACAGGGGATCAGCGCATGTACAGTGCATAGGGAAATATAGGGACTTACGAGCTTCAGTGAGGTAAGATAAACTGAGGCTCGCATCGAAACAGAGATGCTATATAACATATCGTAATGCGGTGAGTCGCCAGTATCTACGGTACGTGGCTAAACGAAAAGGAGTCCGGATATATAGTGCGGGTCAGGAACGCCAGGGGCGCGACAACGTCGCGCTGATCCCGACGCGATAATGCGGCGTCATGCGCGCACGCACACGTGGGGCGAACGGATGCGCTTGACTGTCAACATTGTATACTATATAGCACCCTGCCTCGAACATTCATCTGTTCCTTTGCAAAGAGTCACTCTGTTACGTGACGTAACAACGTTGTTATTGCGTTCGGCAAACGCCGCAATTCGCCACTTCTGGCGTTTGGCGTGACAGCTACAGCCACAGGTTGTTCACAATCACATACGGTTCAAGTTTCCGCCACAGTACGCGACTTCTTGCGTTGACCGTCATACACTCCTGGGGTATGGCTCTTTCTCTATCTCGATGTCGGTGAGTTTACGTCTCATGATGTGAACATGCGAAACGGGCTCATAGGGCTAACCTAGGGCAAACAAGAAACCGGCGACAGTGGCCAGCGGACGTTCCCTCTTAGCGCTCAACGACGATATTCTCCTCGATATTGTCTCATTTCTCTCGCAAGATGATGCCTTGAAGCTTTCGCGCACGGCACGGGGTATTTATAGCATCGCTATGCGCCAGGTTCTTTCAGTAGTCAGCTTTCATCACTGCGATCAAGTCTTGCGTTTCCACGCGCATATGCTTCGGGAAGTGCCTACTCGTTCCTTGCGGTGGGTCCGGTCGCTCGAAGTTTCAATCTTCATACTGCCGTCTTGCCGCATAAGCTGTGTGCATATGTTCTCCTGTATAGCGGATATTCTCGAGCACACAACGAATCTACGATCTCTCGATCTTCCGCAAGATGAAGAGCTATTACACCAACAACCTCGCATCGGATCCGGAATGGCGTCTCTCTCCAGCCTGTCCGAGCTGTCGTTGGAGGGTTTGCTGACCCATCACGGACTCTCAATGCTCGGCCAGGTGAATCCCAAGCTCAGGAAGCTTTCCATCAGAATGTCACGGAGTGATTTGGACCCTATGGACATTTTCGATGTTCTAACACGCCTGAGCAACCTTCAAACACTAAAGATCAGCGAGGCCAATTTTCAGGAGGAGGGACGGAGACCAGGCTCACAAAGGAGCCGAATTCCCGTCATACCGTCTATAACAAGGCTTAACCTCCGCTACTACCGAGATGTCCCCGGACTGGTGTGTACATTTCCGAATGTACGGGAGCTACGCATGACTTTCTGCGGCACATCTTATCGAGCCGATAAAGAACATACATGGTGGCCTACTCTCGATCATTTGTGTATTGACAACTATAGCACATGGCCGACCCTGTGCCAAGTTCACCGTTTGGACCTAAGTTCAACCCTTAGTGAACTGTATCTGCCGAGGGTACAGAGGCTGTCACCCGTCCGGCTCTCATTCACCGTAGGAACGTGCGAGCCCTCGTTCTGGGAAACGTTACTTGGCAACTTACCGAGGCTCCGTGCTCTTGAAGTGACATTGCGGAGTTTACGCTTGGCAAATCTGGAAGAAGTGTCGCTCATTCAGTGGACGGTATGTTATACCTGTGTTTACAATAACAATCTTTGACATGTAGATGTCCCAGGAGAATATGTTATGTTTCTTTCGTCCGGCTCATATCGCCTCTCTGAAAATCAAGGTAGACACTAGGTTCTGTTCTATAGATGAGACTTCATTGCAGATCGCGATGGTGCCGGCGAGATTGCATGCGTTGTCCCGGCTCGTCGCCGAAAGTGTTCCGTCGATGGAGCTGTTTGCAGTCGGCCTTGCCGGTCGTTGGCCGAAACCAAACTGGACGCACTGGACGCGAATACGTCTTAACGGGGACAATCAGCGTGTCGTAGAAATCATCGCTCCCACCACGGGTGAGGAAGCACTCGCACGGATCAGCTCTCGTTTTTACGAGAGTGTATCAGGCACAGGATGAGTCCGTAAGTCGTGCGCGACGTCATGCTTATAACTCTAAAATATTATATAGATAGTCAAAAACGAACGTCGGTTGTCGTTTGCAACAAGCAGCAGGTAGGTCGCATAAGCCTCGATGATGTGTTTGTGCAGAGCTCCTAGTCTAGTGAATATCATTGATTATCACTTCGTTCGTATCTTTCAATGCCGACATTGTGAGCTCTAGAGCGTACGACGTCGATCGCTTTCACATTGCACTCAACAGACTGGGTCATGTTCTGAGATATGGCGAGGCGTCCAGCGCCACTGCCACATAATAGTCAAGCTCTCGCAAGGGTTCCGGCATTAGACAGTCGATATCAGGCTGGGGCCCTCAGTCGCCCTTGCCATTTCTGCAAAGTGAGCGTGTTCAAGTTCTAGCCTTGGGGTGTTGATGGCGGTAAACGTCAATTAAACCTCTGCGTCTCTCGCGGACCACTATGCCCCATCTGCGCCATGCCTGTCTTCTGCCGACGTGGCAAGATCACAAAACTATGGGCCTTTGGATAGACACTAGTCGTCAGCTCGGAATGGCTAACACCACTAGTCCCCCACTACTCATTGACGGCAGCACGCTCGGAGGCGGCGGTCAACTTCTACGCAACTCAATCGCCCTCGCAGCTCTCCTTGGTAGGCCTATCAATGTCAACAAGCTGTCTCCCAAAGGCAAACAGCGTAGTCTGAAAGCGCAGGACGCCGCCGGTGCGTACCTGCATGCGGCCATAAGGTGACCAACGCCATACTGATTTTAAGACTGTATACAGGACCACATCTTATTGCGGATATTTGCTCAGGTAACATGGTAGGTTGCAAGAAAGGATCGACAAGTATCGAGTTGCATCCAGGGTCTATCTGTCTCGCTGAAGACTATACTGCCGACTCCCAAACCGCCGGCTTGGTCGCGCTGCCCCTGCAAGTCGCGTTGCCATGCCTTCCATATTCCTCGCCCGGCGCATCCCTCGAGCCCGCATACCTCACCTTCTGCGGTGCCACAAACCCGGTACATCATACATGGCCCGCAGATTGACTACACGGCGAACGTCTTCCTGCCTTTCCTCCGCCGTCACTTCTCGTTGTCCTCTGTGCTACGTGTCGCGTAGCGCGGCTTCTCCTCGAGGGGCGGCGGAATGGTGGATGTTTTCTGTATCTCCCAGACACGGGCCCTTCCCGGCTATCACGCTCACGAAGCGCGGACCAGTCACCGCTGTCAGTGGGTGCGCCTACGCCGCGGGACTCCCGGGGTGCTTCACTACCGCCGTGCGTAAGACGGCTGAAGAATTCCTCGTTAAAGCCGGAATCATTCGGCAGCTAATCAACACCGAGACAATTCGAGAGAGCCTTCCGGGGCTGTAAGCCGCGGCTCTGGGATCGTCCTTTGGGCTACCACCCGGGGTGACAAAACAATTGGCATATTTTAGCACTATTCTAGTCCTTCCCTCTAGCATTACTATGACGGATCTCCTAGTAGCGGTATCGTGAGGAAAAGACCCAAGTCTAGACAGTACAGCGTGAAAAACCTGTGTGGTCATTAGCCGGTGGCGCTCCTTGTCATCGGCAAATGTTTATCACATCTCGGAGGCCGTTCTCTGATCGGGGCCAACAGCCGCTCATCGACAGACTCCTCCGAGACGATCGGGAGAATATAGTCATTAAGCCGCAATAGGGTGTTCGACATCACCGAAGTCCATCCGATCGGGGATTCGAGGAAACTCTGTATGTCTTCTACATATTCGCAGAGTCTTCGCATAACGACTCTCGGAGTCCGCTCGGGGATAAACATGGGGTTTTTGTCTCATACGAGGACTCTGCTCGTGGAAGTCGAGAATTACAGAGCCGTACAGCCATGCAGGAACAGACTCAACGTATCATCGCGCAGGTCAAGCTCATTGGCCGCGGCTTTTGGGTGGTGTATTCAACTTGGGGACGGTATGCCAAATACCACCGAGCACGACAAAAGCTTCGTGAGTTACAGGGCGCTCTGACTAAGTTTCTTCCGATGTCAGGAGGCCCCAAGTACCTATTAATTATGCTCGCTCTCGTCGGAGCATTGCCGATTAACACTCGCAGGAAGTTCTTAAGCTCGAGGAACGAGGGCAAAAGCAGGCCGCATCGTCACCTCGGGCTCGAACACAATGTCAGACCAGCCGAAGATGATTTACCTCCCAGACACCATGGCTAATTGGCCTTGGCCGAGAGCTATCAACCCCCACCACGAGGAAGTCGAGGCTGAGTCAGACGCATGGTTCGAAGGCTTCAAGCCATTCACAAAGAGGTTGCAGCTTGCCCTTGAGACGTGCGATCCTGGTATGTGTGCCCTATTGTTTCATTGTGCACTGACTCAGGGATATGTACAGGAAGGCTTGCTTCTCTCGCATACCCATGGGCCTCGAAGGGTGAGTGACGCATTCGCTTGAGCTTATATTTTGTGACCTATCCTCCAGAGCACCTGCGCACCGGCTGCGATTTGATGAACGTCTTCCTTATCATTGAGGAGTCGACTGATGTCGAGAGCGCATCCGTTGTCCATGACATAGTCGATATTGTCATCGATGCGATCAACAATCCGCATAAGCCGCGCCCAGAGGGAGAGAGCCATATTGGTGAGATTACGAGACAGTACGTGCATGTCAATCCAATTTTGAGCCCCTCGCTGACGACGTGCTCGCAAACCAGGTTCTGGGAGAGGGCAATAAAGGCTGCCACACCCAGCTCGCAGAAGCATTTTATAGAAGCCTTCACCGACTATCTCAACTCTGTGGTCGAACAGGCCGTCGATCGCGACAACAACTACATCCGCACCGTGGACAGCTACCTGAAGACACGGAGAGAGAATATCGGCGCGCGACCATCGTACTTCCCAGCCGAGCTGGGGCTCAATCTCCCGGATGAGGCATTCTATCATCCCGTTGTCACCGAGCTGTCATACAACATTGCCGACTTAATCATCCTAGACAACGCAAGCCCGATTTTATCCTCACACGACGAGGTCTCGCGCTGACCACGCTATAGGATATCGTATCGTACAACAAAGAGCAGTCAACGGGAGACGACCGTCACAACATCCTCACCATCGTCATGCACCAATTCAACATTGATTTGGAGGCAGCAATGGCATGGGTGGCGAGCTACCACAAGGATGTCGAGAACAAGTTCCTGGACGGGATGAAGGAGTTGCCATCATTTGGACCCGTGGTCGACAAAGAGCTCGAGGAATACATCCTGGCTCTGGCGATTTGGCCTCGCACGAATGACTGCTGGGCTTTTGAGAGCGGACGCTACTTTGGGAGCAAGGGCCTACAGGTCCAGAAGACTCGCTACGTGCCTTTACTTCCGAAGGTGAAGACTGACCCGACGCTCAAACAAGAGCAGGCAGTGTCCGTAGTAGATCTATGACGAGAACTTCGAATATAGAATCTCTTGTATATTGTATAAATATCATCCTGCCCAAATATTCACTCACGGTTTGCAACGCTCAGTCTGGCATGGGAGAGGAGGAGGAACGTCTTCCTCCATATCCAAACGTGACCGGTGACCATCCAAACTCTCGGCCGCCAGGCTTCAGAGGTCCATTATATCCGTCGCTTTGTTACGCGATGTAACAACATTGTGATCGCACTCGGCAAATGCCGCAGCTCGCCACTTTTGGCATTACATCTACAGCCACAGGTTGTTCACAATCACATACGGTTCAAGTCTCCGCCACAGTACGCGACTTCTTGCGTTGACAGTCATACACTCCTGGGGTATGGCTCCTTCTCCATCTCGATGTCGGTGAGTTTACGTCTCATGATGTGAACATGCGAAACGGGCTCATAGGGCTAACCTAGGGCAAACAAGAAACCGGCGACAGTGGCCAGCGGACGTTCCCTCTTGGCGCTCAACGACGATGTTCTCCTCGATATTGTCTCATTTCTCCCGCTCCCGCAAGAGGATGCCTTGAACCTTCCGTGCACGGCACGGGGTATCCGTAGCATCGCCATGCGCCAGGTTCTTTCAGCAGTCCGCTTTGATAGCTGCAATCAAGTCTTACGTTTCCACGCGCATATGCTAAGGACGCGCCTACTCATTCTTTGAAGTGGGTCCAGATGCTCAGACTTTCACTCTCCAAACTGCCGACTAGCCGCAGGAGCCGTATGCATTTGTTCTCCTGTGTGGCGGATATTCTCGAGCAGACAACGAATCTACGATCTCTCGAGCTTCCATGAGAGATATTATGCCAACAACCTCGCATCGGATCCGGAGTGGCATCTCTCTCCAGCCTGTCCGAGCTGTCGTTGGAGGGTTTGCTGACCCATCACGGACTCTCAATGCTCGGCCAGGTGAATCCCAAGCTCAGGAAGCTTTCCATCAGAATGTCACGGAGTGATTTGGACCCTATGGACATTTTCGATGTTCTAACACGCCTGAGCAACCTTCAAACACTAAAGATCAGCGAGGCCAATTTTCAGGAGGAGGGACGGAGACCAGGCTCACAAAGGAGCCGAATTCCCGTCATACCGTCTATAACAAGGCTTGACCTCAGCTACTGTCAGGATGTCTCCGGACTGGTGTGTACATTTCCGAATGTACGGGAGTTATGCATGACGTTGTGCGACACATATCCGGAATCTGGTCGAGCCGATGAAGAACACACATGGTGGCCTACTCTCGATTATTTGCGTATTTGGACCTATAGCACATGGCCAACCCTGTGCCAAGTTCACCATTTGTGCATACATTCAGACTTTGATGAATCGCAGTTGCCGATGGTACAGAGACTGTCACCCGTCCGGCTCTCGATTTCCATATGGACATGCAAGCCCTCGTTCTGTGAAATGTTATTTGTCAATCTACCGAGGCTCCGTGCTCTTGAAGTGAGATTGATAGATCTACGCTCGGAAGAGCTGGGAGAAGTGACACTCATCCAATGGGCGGTGCGTCATAACTGTGTTTGTATGAACAACCTCTGACTCGAGGATGTTCCAGGAGAATGTGTTACGTTTCCTTTGTTCGGCTCATATCGCCTGCCTAAAGATTCAGGCAAATACCATGGTCTGTTCTGTGGATGTGACTCCATTGTGGATCGCCATGGACCCAGAGAGGCTGCATTCGTTACCCCGACTCGTCGCCGAAAACATTCCGTCGATGGAGCTGTTTGCAGTCGGCCTTGCAGGCCGTCGGCCGAATCCAGACCGGACGCGCTGGACGCAGATCCGTGTTGACGGGGACAATCAGCGTGTTATAGAAATCATCGATCCCACCACGGGTGAGGAATCACTCTCACGGATAAGCTCTCGTTTTTACGAGAGTGTGACAAGCACGGGATGAGCCCGTAAGTCGTGCGCGACGTCATGCTTATAACTCTAAAATATGATATAGATAGTCAAAAACGAACGTCGGCTGTCGTTTGCAACAACGGGTAGGCCGCAGTAGCCTCGATGATGTGTTTGTGCAAAGCTCCTAGTCTAGTGAATATTATTGATCATCACTTGTGTTCGTATCTTTCAATGCCGACGTTGTAGGCTCGAAAGCGTACGACGTCGATCGCTTTCACATTGCACTCAACAGACTGGGTCATGTTCTGAGATATGGCGAGGCATCCAGCGCCACTGTCACATAATAGTCAAGCTCTCGCAAGGGTTCCGGCATGAGACAGTCGATATCAGGCTGGGGTCCGTCGCCCTTCCAGTCTTTGCAAAGTGAGCATGTTCAAGTTTTGGCCTTTGGCTGTTGACGGCGGTAAACGACAATTGAACCTCTAGCGTCTCTGACAGCGTGACAAGCTCACAAAACTATGTAACCTCATCGTTCTATAGAATCAATCACAGTGCATCTTGCACGTTCCAGACAGTACATGCGTAACCTTGGTGAAGGACTGTGTTATGCACAGCAGGATATCGGGCTGTTAGTTCATATAATCTACATGCATCGCCGCGCTCTGGATGAGACACACTGATTCTGCTGAACGAGGCTTGATGGTGCATTGAAAGGGGCCGGGGTGACTGCGAGAACAGCTTCAACCAGTACAGCTATCGGTACCAGACGTCGCTCACCTGACAGTGCCTCCTGTGTACTGTACACCTGACTCAATGGGCAGTCCATCGGGACCCACCGCCTTGCTGATGTCCAACGTGGCTAGCACGCAAGCGACAAATATGAATATCGAGTCTTCTGCAAGGACTCTCCCCGGACAGACTCTGATTGACTGTCAATCGCCGATGAACCAGTGCAGATGATTGTGTAATCTTACCGTCGCCCGTAACCAAAGGCAAACTTCTGGGGATCTGGGTTCAAACCGCCTTCCTGGTTAAGGTACCTCTCTGGAATGACTTGGAACGGGTCTGGATACAGCAATGGGTCATGAAGAACAGCCCTGAGTTCGACATCAGCGAGAGTGCCGACATTGGGGAAACATGCCACGTGCCAGGAATTCGCAATTACTGTCGCACCGATGGGAATATGAAATCCGTTGTAGACGTCGTCTTGCATGACACGATGGGGCACGGCTACAGAAGGTGCATGTTGAGTGCCAAAGGGAGACGTGATGAAAAAGTAGTCTTCTCACATATTGGTAGTACAGGATTCCACCGATAGACCTCTTTCAGGACTGCATCCAGGTAGGGCAAATATGCTCCATCGCTGAAGTCTGGCAGGCGGCCCGGCCCAACAACGCAGTCCAGCTCAGCTTGTGCTTTCTGCTGAATTTCTGGGTACAGACTCATAATCAAGACAAACGATTCAATCGAAGACACCGTCTGTAATGTGTGCTCAGCCTTGGCTCAAATACGAGTTATCTGCTCTGTCTTACTGTGTCTGCTCCCGCTAAGAAACGAATTAGCAGCGTTGTATCTGAACGGATATAAGCGTACCTGCGTAGAACTGCATGACCGTAGTTTTATAGAACCATTCTTCCTCAGGTGTAGGATTGGTGTTCTCCTCAATCAGTCTCGCCGCCAGTGAAGGCAGAGCAGTCCCATTAGCCTGTACCCAGTAATTGAAATGCTCTAATAGTGTTTTTTTCCTTAATAAAGACTTACCACCTGATCTTTCACGTAGGCATACGGTTCATTGCATAGGCGCAGAAACTGTTCTCTGCATTCCTTTGCTAGACTCTTGAAGCCCATCCCAGGGAGCCAACTCGGAAGGTATTGCACTAGCAAATTAATCATGAGATTTAACGACGAGTCATGGAGTCCGACGCTTACGAATGGGAATATTATCTACTAGGAAGCGTCCAGGTCTTACCATGTGGGAAAAGTCCTTATTGAATCGTTCTGCCAGCTTGACAAAGATGTGGTCGACGTGTTCGATTTGCTGCCCGTGAGTCAATTGAAACACAACCGCGGCAATGAACCTATCGAACGTTCAGACCATGTCATTGCTTTACGTCATGAAAGTGCTTACCAGCGAGAGTGTGACCGCCGGTCTTTTGGATTACTAACAAGCTTGGAAAGCATTAAGGCGGCCTTGTTCCGTTGTATTCGATGGATATCTGTCTGATTGTGGTGGTCCAGGCTATTGAGGATGAGTTTGCGACCTTCCCTGTGACGTCTGCCGTAGCGCTCCAACACCGGTATGGAAGAGAACCCAACCCTAGTTGCAAAGTGAACATTGTATACTTACAGAGAAAGACGGGAGACATATGTACATCTCGCCTGCCAGGGGAATGTGAGGGCGATCGGCGTACAATGCACTCCTCTTTTCGAACAGCTCCTCTATGGCATTAACTGAGTTGAGGACCAGAATAGAATGGCCTAATACTGAAAGGCTAAATATTTCCCCTAATGTTTGAACAGTATGAAACAGAATACAGACAGCGCTCATGAAGTAAGCTCGTACGTACCGTATATCCCAGCCCATTCGGTGAACTTGAGCCACTGAAATTCAAAGGGAACGTTCAACGCGTTGCCAAGTATTGGCAATCGCGCTGGACCAGGAGGTAAAGGAGCTTTTGCACGTTGCTTCGCAAACGTATAGCCGGCTGCGCAGATCAATATGCAGACGGCGGTACAGTATGCCCACGGAAGACTCATACTGCAAGATGGAATACCTGATCTCTGTGGGAGGGCTTGAGAGGGGGGGAGGGTGCACCCGAGTTAAATGCAGGATCTCTACACATCGTAACGCCGGCTGGGTTCCATAACCAACCATCAGCTGATATGGATCACATCGCAAGTTATTCGCTACATGCAGTTGTTCGTGCGTCTCATGACTTGACACGAGGCTGTGAGCGGGTTGGCAATAATGGAAAGCAAAGCTCTCGTACCCTTTGAATCAAATGATTGAGCGAATGGATTGCCGAAGCAGTTTCAGGGTCTGGAGAGGATGGAGCACACGCACTACCTGATAAGGGTATTGAGTGACAAATTTTATTTCTGCGTAAATAGGATTGAGTGGATGCGCGCACGAGTTAAATAATCACTCACCAGTTGCCCATCGTTACATCTCACTATCATTGTCATCGCAGAGAACTTGTCATACTACAATTCACTACTCGTTGGTGACGCAGGCATTCGGCATGTGGCCGATCTGCACATTGGACGCCTTTCTGCCTGTAACACCGGAGTGCCGTTGTGAGGTGTTCGGAGGGGGCGCCAGAAGCTTTGGTGGAATAGCTGTGGTATAGGCCTAACGCGCAAGGTTCGGAGTCTGTGAGCAGAACGTCATATATATTTCGGCCTGCGCAGGCTCTATATATCTGTGTATATCCCGTTAGAAGAAGCAAAAGCTTGTCGAATGCGGACACAAGTAATTATAGACGGAGATAGTATGGGATTTCTCGATGAGCACGCAGTGCCTGCGGCGCCTCTCCGAAATGATGGCGTCAACTGACGCGCGCTTGCGTGTTTGGCACTCGTGCATACTCGACATCTTAGAGCACATATAGGAAAGACACTCCCCATGCCGTGCTCAAGTGCATTAGTGTGGACGCATCTTGAGACCCCGCCGCTTGGTATTTTGCGTCATGAAGATAGCCAGAGTAGATGCTTCGTGGCAGGAAGACAATGCATAATAGGGTGTGATGAAAGTGTTCTCTAACGGAACAGAACTTCTCTTCCGTCAGGTCCACATCCGTATCCATTCCTCGGCGTCCTACATGATGTGCCTTCGGTATTACCATGGAGGACATTCGAAAAATGGTTGGATTGTACGTTGCGCGTATTGCGTCCCTTTCCCTGCTTATGAATTAGCTGTGTCTACCTAGGGGATATGATTTCCTCTCACACTTTGGGCAAGGAAGTAATTGTGCTTGACTCGGCCACGATATCTCACGAGTTGATGGACGAGAGGAGCGTGATTACCCTTAGAGGCCATGCTACCATGGTCAATGAGGCTATAGGCTGGGAGCGCAAACTTGTTTCTCCCACAAGTCACAACTGGCAGCGACTAGCGCTCACATCTAGTCAGAGACAGTCTCTTCCGAGCATATATTACAGCGAGGAGCTCCAAGTCCACCGCAAATATCTGCATCAGTACTTTCACAAACAGAGCCTGCCAGATTCCTATAACATCGAACTCAAAAAGGCGTATCGGTTGTTGGCTAACGTTTTGGGCGTTCCGGGTGATATGAAGTATATTCGCCTAACATTAGGCCCACATAATCATAGGTGACATATATTTGGATGCTTGCGGGCTGCGTCACGACGATGCCCACATAAATGACCCCCGAGTCTAACGGTTAACCCGAGCCTAAGAGGTCCAATCCGCCGCCTCCACGAAGAAGGCTGCAACACTAAGCCCGATCCCAGAGGGCTGGCATTTAGGTCCAGTGAATGGTACCCGGAGCATCACCGCCGTTCTACCATTCAGACTCGACGTGTGGTCCTGAACCATACTCAATAAGGCGATGTGGCTGGGTCCTGGGCTCGCAGGGCGGATAAAGCCATTTTGACGTCCTTATCAAGCAAAGTATTGTTTCCGACACCTTCTCGGTGAAGAGAATTGAGAATCTGAGACCGTAAGAGCATAGGGAGCGAGCGAGTAAAGTATGGGTTTCGGTGATGTGGTATAAAACACAACTGATACATGGTCATGCATATATATCATTTAGTTGAGGGCGTGGCTTCTGGCGTTAAGCAACAAATAATAGCGCGGGAACCATCATAACAAGGAACCAAATTCGTGGCGCTTCGCCACAATATTCAGACGTTACGAATCATTATGGTCGACTCTAAAATGGACAGACGATCAGTAGCATAGTAATTCTGATTGCGATATGTATTTGAGGCGCATGTTGGTTTCCCCTACCGACAACGTATCAGGACCCAATATAGTATACTGGGCGCTGACACGTCTTCCTTGTGCCGGAGAGTACTTATCCCGAGGACCACGGAAAGGTCTGCGCTAGGACGAACATAAATGTCCGCCCTTCCCTCGGGGACTCACCTCGCTATGTTCGCACGACCGTTCAAGCGCTCGAGGTCGATCAAGGAAGCGGACGGCAGCAAAGACGTGAGGACATACGGAGAGGGGAGAAGGGAGGACACGATCCTAGCAAGCGAAAACATTCAGTCTTGCGGAGTAATTGTGAATATCCCCAGCAAGCTCACTCTGACGGCGACTGGCCAACGTACTTGATGATCGGAGTCAAGTGTGAACGTCTCCCTGAATGCATAAGTAGTTGAACAAACTGTGGGAAGAGCATTCAGCGAGAAAGGCGCAACAATAAAAACACCTTGTGCCGTCGCCTTGGCTTGACGCAAGCAACAGACGAACGGGACGAAGAGCCTATAGGCACGATTGGTATACTCAGTAAATGATGAAACTCGCCGTCTGTTCACGTTGGGGACTGTAGAGTTCATATGGGTCGGGCCGATCACACTTGAAGACGGCGAGTAAGCTAGGATACGTGTAGCGAAGCAAAACACCGCTCACTGTTCATGCGCGAGTATAGAACATTTGTGAACATGTTAGTCAAGACCGAGTACAGTGGTCAGCCATAGAATATCCAGGAGACGCCACATAGTAAAGCAGAGAGAAAGAAAAGAAGTAGAAGCAGATGAGGAATGTCGACAGCACACAAGGAATCAATCGCAGTCAGCCAGCCAGTGATGGAGTCGAGAGAGAGCGGAGAAGCAAGTCGCCAAAGCCCAGAAATCAGCCTCAGAGTAACTAAGCACAGAGACGAGGCGGAAGCGGCGAGAGACAGGCGACGAGGAAGCAGACGCGAACAGCCAAGTGGCGGCCAGAAGCAGACTAGTAGCTAGCTGTTCTTAGAGGTCGCTTGAGATGTCAAGTATCAGATGAGTCGGTCCTTGTATGACATGATTCGAGCACTTATGGGAGACCTAAACCCCGAGACCTAGCCTCGAACCCCCAGCTGTTGAGCTTGTTGCCTAGCATGTAGCCTCCTTGATGGGAACTCGCCGCCGCCTTGAAACTGTGGCGAATTTCAGGACTCGGTGAATGATATGTGTGGCGATTGGCTTACCTTGACACAGCACAACGCCACAGTATGGAGCTATAATGCTGAGTTTGAGGAGACAAGCCAGAGCATATGGAAGGTGTGTCGGACAAGCAGAAGCACCTAGCACAAGCCCAGAGAGTATGCGAGTCAAGCACAGCAGAAGAAGACGTTGTAGACCGAAGCACGAGGTCGCCAGAGATCGAGAGCAGGCTTGTGGCTTGGACCAGGTCGACAGTGTGGCGCAGAGATGAGACATGAAGAAAAGGAAAACAAATGGGCGAGCAACACTGTGAGAACGATAACACATGGAAAAGAGTCATACAAAATAAGGCGACAGTCAAACGCAAGCACATGAGGCAGCAGCGACAATGGAAGAACATGAAGGAGCAATGTCAAACAACAACTTAGCGACGACTTGGACGACTTGAGGTGTTGAGTATAGTTGAGGGGGGTATCTGGAGGGCGGAGACACTGGCACAGAGGAGTGGATGAGGGAGAGAGATGAGGAAGGGCGCAGAAATGCGGGTCGTTATATACTCTCGGACCAAGGTCTGTTCGGCCCACAAGGCGGCAAGTCGCGGGCCTTGGCTCTCCGGTTCTCCGTTTATCCACTGATGGCGGTGATGCGACATGCGATTGATGTCTATGAATGGAACAAGGACATGAGGTTCGCGGAGTCTGAATTCGCAGAACAATGGGTCCAACTGGGTCCGAGTGGCGGCGAGAGGCCGAGTTAGGACAGCGACAATGTGCGATTGTACACATCTACAACGTCGTTACCGCGTGTAATGGCACGTTTCATCGTTAGAATCGACTTCGGTTACTCTCGGAGGGCCTATGAGGGGCGGCAGACCACGTAGTCTGCATTTGCCCAAGTTTTCAAGCTAGAGTAAGCGAGCGCAGCTCATCAACGTCGCCGTCATAGACAAATAGTCATTGCCAGAATGCGGGCAGAGCCACTATGACCCCTCATTAGACTGGTATGTGCATTTCACATGCATCCTGAAAAGATGATGTATACTTGACGGTATACAGAAAGTCAGCTCGTTGCGGTCTCCGGACAGACTCCCATGCATGTGCCGGAGAGATGTATACTCACATGACTGCACGTCACATTCGTTGTTTGAGGCTTCGCATTTTTCTCGGCGGACTTTGGTTTGGTTAGAGTTGTGGAATGATTTAGCCCATAAACGCACAGGTATGCGCGATGAGTCTAGTAGTGCTCGAAGAACGTACCCATCATGGTTGGGTAGTAACAGCAACTTGTCAGCTGCAAAGAGTACAGGTCAGCGAAAGCACTCTAGGCCCCCGGATAGTGCTCAAATTTGCAGAGACGATTAACATCATTGCGCTAGGACATCACTGTCCGCTTCGCTAGACACGCGTGAGGAGCCGTATTCGCCTTGAAGATGCGCACATGATGGTCCTCTATGATTTGAGGCCTTGGACGTACGCAGGACCTGAGCGGCCCCAAACAATCGACCACAGCGGGGAGGATCGGAAGAGAGCTCGATCATCAAAATGCGATCGTGATCGGGACGTTCAAAACTCGCCTTCGATGTTCTGAGATTTCTTCGACCAGTGACAGAACTCGATTTCCTTGAAAAGTGCCCAGGTTTTGCGAATATTCAGTCTGACACCCCTTCATGATTGAGCCCCAGCCAAAGCCCGATTCCATTCTTTCACTACACATTCTACAACTATGTCACGTATCATCGTACCTCAGTCGAGCTCATCTAGTCCCATGTCGGAGCGCGCATACAGCTCATCCTCGATCTCCCGCGCGAGCAAGTCCTGTTCCTCGCGCTTTATGAAGGACAGCACCTTGCCGGCCACATTGCCGACTTGCTTCCAGTTGATCGCCTGGCTGCCAGCCGCGGGCTGCTCGGCGCGCGCATACAGCTCGTCGTCGAAAGACCGCCCCAGCAGCTCGTCTTCATCGAGGGAACGCGCGAACAACTCACCCTCATCAAGCGAGCGCGACGGGTGCACGACAGTGCCAATGCGGTATGGGAATGGCCGAACGCTGGGAGTAAACTTGGCACCGTGAATACCACCCACAGGCAGCTCGCGGGCAAACGTTTGCCTGTCGACAGAGTGCGGCGGGTGCACAACTGGGCCGAGGCCAGCAGCGGTCGGGAATTTGGTCACGGGATGAAAACCAGGCACATCACGCGCAGCCAGTTCGTCGATCATCGCCCGCGCGTATAGCTCGTCCTCGATGACTCGGGCAAGCAGCTCCTGGTCTTCGCGCTTCAGGATGGAGATCACTTTGCCGACACCGCTGGCGACCTTTCCCGCGACGTTGCCGACCTTCTTCCAGTTCACGGCCTGACTTCCGGCAGGGGTTGGCTCTGCCCGAGCGAAGAGGCCATCGTCGTACATTCGCGCGAGCAGCTCTGCATCAGAGGCGCTATGATGGATTTAGTCAAAAAGTGAATCCTGCGTAGCATCAACAAACCTACGTACGATGCAACGGGAACTGCAAGCGCGGGCGCCACGGAGGTGGCAGCGAGGAGGATAGGGACGGCGATGGAGGTGCGCATGATGATCGATGTGCTCGTCGAGTGGAGATTAAAGTTTGAGTATGGATTCGAACGTGAGTTGTCGTGAAAAATGAATGCGTTGAAGATCGTAAATGAAGCACGGCTGGAACATGAGACATAGCATTTAGCAGGCTTTTCGAGCAACAAGATTCGTACAGGCTACGCACCAGCCAGTACCAATGCTTGAAGGTCGTGCAGGCTCTGCGATTGAAGGGCTGGGAGCTGAGGGTATTCGATGGAGATACACGACTTATATATGCACAAGATCAAGTAGAGACGCTCTTCATGAGAATAGTGGAGCAGAGTGCCCCGCCTCAGCGGTTCCGTTCATGATACTGGGGTGCGTTTCAGGATGTGCTGGCTGTGATGGTTCTGTCATGCAGCACAGTATGCTGCGGCCGCTAAGCGAAGATTGAAGCTCGATAGTCATCAGCAGTGATTGAACGTCAGTGGACAACAATATTAGCTTTGACACCTACCCAACGTTGGCGTGAGGTTCAGAACACACGCACACACCTCCCATAAGAGACTGAGATGCGCTAACGCTCGTGCTGTGTGCTAATGTTACTCTGTCGCACGGTGGAGCGACCATAGATCGCAGCGAGTCGGCATCTCTGCCGCTTTGCGTGTTGCGTGTTAGAACGAAGTAGCTCCAAGGCATCAAAGGAGTATGAAGGATCACGCAAGAGCCGCAAGCGGCTGGCTGTTGGAGAATCTTGATACTACAAAGGTGTACTCCCGGCTTCGTTGTTGCAGTGCAATTCTGTCGTTGTGGTGTACGATAGCACGTGCCATCATGAAGGCAGAAGCATGCAAGCCCACGGCGTTGTTGAGAGACTCCAGCCGTCACAGTGCATTCCAGCTGAAGGCCAAATAGTATCAAAGGTTGGGCCGGTATTCAGAGAGGATGAGCGGCCAAGTCGGGTTTTCCGAGCTTCCTGGTACATTGGCCTCGGCATTTGCCGCACTGATGTGCTCTTCGCCAAATGCAGAAACTCATATAGATTCGAAAGAGTCGAAACTACATGAACCACAAGGATTGTCGAGTCAACTTCGTTCAGTTTTATATGTACATCATTGCGTAAACGTAAGACAAGCATTACAATATATGCACGGCCCGAATGCTCGCCACAACGCGAATGCTCACGCGGCCCCGATCTCGCGCAAGTATTGACGACGGACCTCATCCCATAGCGTCCCTTGGGGCTCGATCTAAAGCCAGACGTAGCAGGCGTATTGGATACCTTGGCCTGGTAGTACCATTTTGTATTGTTGACGTTGTCTGTGATGCCCTCGTTCACGAACGTTATCTGTGCAATGCATACCGTCAGATCTCGGTGAAGCGACAGAGCAGCGTTGATACATACATTCTGCATCGTGATTGAGGCCCGGCCTTTTCCCCGCGAGCCTCCATCGCTGCCATGTGAGATGTAGAAGTCGAGGGGAGACCCGTCATTGACGACGAAGAAGCTGAGAGAATGCAGTCATCAGCCGTAAATCTACTAGTAAAGATGCTAGTGACGACAAACTTCAGGATCCCCCTTTTGATGACACGACTACGCCTCTTTCCGAAGGTCACCTTGTTGTCGCTTGTGGTCGTGTTCGAAGGATACGGTTTGGACGGGTCTGGAATGATGACGGCGCTCGGAGTGAGGATTCCAAACTCCGCCCAGTCAGACTGGACGTCGAGCGTCACCGCAGTCTTGTACGGATCCGGGTGTGTTACGATATAGTTGAATGCATTTTGGATGTCGTCCGCACGGGCCTGGAGCGTCGCGTCCACCGCGCTCCGCATCAGCGTCCATATCTCAGTCAGTGAGAAGTTCACCACGCCTGTGTTCTGTGTGTTTGTCTGTGTCCACTTCTCGTAGAGGCTGTAGTCCGTGGGACTGTTCACCAACGTGTTCGCCATGTCGGCGTCGCCGCCTTGACACGAGAGGAGCCGCTGTGCGAGTCCTTGATATGTCTTGTACTGCGACTCAGGTTCCACGTTTGCGTCGTACTTTCCGCCGTTCGGGATGCCGTTGTAAGCGTAGAGGACGTTTGCCGAGAAGCGGCTATTGACAGACGAGTTCGAGTTGTCTGCAGAAATCAGTGGTTCGCCATCAGTCGCGGTCAGATATAATCCCATTCAATTGGACACATACCAGTTGAAAGCGGGCGCCGTAGGTGGCATTAATGATGCTGTGGGAGCCGACGGTGTCGAAGAACGCCCGGTAGTCTCTGAGAACCGTGGTGTCCGGGCTGGAAGGCCAAGCCGGGAGACGGCTGACACGGTTTTTGAGCAGACCTTCGTTCAAATAGACGATGTAGTTCTTCAGCCCAGCAGCGTAGCGGTTGGCATTGTAGCTAAATAGTGCGAACTAGCAGTCGCTGCGGAATGTCTTGCTGATCGAATATCCGGCCGTTGTAGTACCAGTCACAGCTAGGTAGCGCGGGTAGAGGCTAGAGTCGTTGATGAAGGCGGCGCTAGCCTTGTTGCCATCCTCATAGGTGACATAACCACCTTGATAGGTCTGTACGTCTGTTGCAATCACGACGTTCTTGGGAACATTGTATGCAACGCCATCTGCCATGCCGTTCAGCTTGTGAACAAAGGTGAGCTATCCAACGCCTGCCATACCAATTTCGACGACGCGAGTCCCTTCAAATGTATCAACATCGATGACTTGTAGTGCCCTCTTGACTGATGCCGCCACCTGACAACGATAAGGCTTGGGAGTACAATAGACCCAAATACTTACTGCAGTGATGTCGCTAGGTGTGACAGTAGTCATGTCAAGGCTGTAGCCTAGCCAGTTGGTCGCGGGGAGATCGACAGGCATGATTGAAGTAAGGCGAGAATACAGATGAGAGGTTAACTACACCGGCGGCCGTGAGAGAGCTGATTTACAGCTTAAGTAGTAGATCTGACGGCAAGGCCGGCGTCAGAGGCTCGGGTATGGGCTATGTGATGCAGATACTGTGATGATAAATCGAATATCATCTATGCATGTCGCAATGTCCATGCGACCTGCAGCTTATGTGGCCAAGCGACCGGCAGCCATGGTGATATCTTCCTCTTTCCTTGGGGGTCCATATTGGACAAAAGTGCCCATACTTCCTCTCAAGGTAGTTGAACACTGGTTCTAGCCCGGAGTACTGCATCATATTTGGTGATTACCATATTTGTCCGTGAGGTCCAGAGATCACCGATCATCACCACATCTCACACTGGTGATGCACTCAATATATGCACTTCATCACACAGATTTACGTTGATCTCTGCTTGCCATAAGCGAAATTAATTGGATAGAGCTGCTGTCAAGCACAACAGCAGAAGATGTTGTAGACCGAAGCACAAGGTTGCCAGAGATCGAGAACGGACTTGTGGCTGGGACTAGGCTGACAGGATGGCGCAGGGACGAGACATGAAGGAAAGGAAAAAAATGGGCGATAACACATAGAAGGGAGAATAATGTGACAGGCAGACGCAATCACATGAGACAGCAGCCACATCGGAAGGATACGAAAGAGCAGACAACAGATGTCAAACAATGACTTAGCGACAACTTGGACGACTTGAGGTGTTGGGTATAGTTGGGGAGGATATCTGGAGGGCGGAGACACTGGCAGAGAGGAGTGGATGAGGGAGAGAGATGAGGAAGGGCGCAGAAATGCGGGTCGTTATATACTCTCGGACCAAGGTCTATTCGACCCACGAGGCGGCAAATCGTGGGCCTTGGCCCTCCGGCTCTCCGTTTATCCACTGATGGCGGTGATGCTATAGGCGATGGGTCTATGAATGGAACAAGGACATGAGGTTCGTGGAGTCTGAATTCGCAGAACAATGGGTCCAACCGGGTCCGAGTGGCGGCGAGAGGCCGAGTTAGGACAGCAACAATGTGTGCCTATACACTTTTACAAAGTCGTGAGCCGCGTTTGATGGAACGTTTCATCGTTAGAATTGACCTCGGTGTCTCTCGGAGGGCCCATGAGGGGCGGCAAGCCGCGTGGTCTGCATTTGCCACACTTGAGACTGTGTTCTCCATGGTTGATTTCCTAGCTAGACTAGCTGGAATAGGTCGAGCGCAGCTCATCGCCGTCGCCGTCGCCGTCGTCGCAAACAGATACGCTGTTCATCACGGAGGCCGCATCGAACTTTGGGGAGGTTGCGGCATGGCCGACGTCCGCAGACGCGAACGCGGTCACCTTTATCAACTTCTCTTGCAATCCGCGGGGCTGCATCAAGATCTATATCACATTTTTATGAAACGCTGTCGTGGTCGTCGACGGGAAGGCCCACTGGGACTCGGCCACTGACCTGTGTGCACATACCCAACAGTGTCCAAGTCATTATACGGTATTACCTTGCTAATAGGAGCACGATGGATTGTTGCGGATTCCCGGCCGACTCGCTGTTGGAACAACGGTGCGAACGGCGCGGGCGCGTTTGTCCACGGGCGTAGCGATGCCCGTAAGGGACAATCGCGTAGCGTACATACAGTGCGCGCGGTCGTTTTATACTACGATAGGGGCCTCCGGCCCCCGACTACTCGTGCGCCCGAGCTTGCGAGCTCGTTCCTGATCACGCGGGGCTGCGCGTTTCAACACTCGCATGCGGAGGGTGCGTTGGTGAGAATGAAGCCTGCGCCGGAGCCTTGCAGAACTCACAGTCGGATTGCAATCGCTGCCCTAGAATTCGTACCTCGTCCGGACAATACTACGTAGTAATCTGAGTAGCTGTGTGACTTTTAATCCATGGCTACACAGGTGTGGATCTAGTGGTGCTTGAAACACGTACCGATAATAAAGCTCAAAGATCAACTTGAATAGCATTGAAAGTGATGATGTTGTCCCAACGCAAAATGCAGATAATGCGACGCATCTGCGATCCATTCCGTTCTCTCGTCAAACACGCTCTTCTGCCGCAGGAAAGTATTCAAAGTAGAAGAGAGATCCAGCACTAGTATACCGGGTCATTCTCGGCTCCGTTGTACCTGTGCGTATTCCGATATACCCCGAGTCAGGTCTTTCTCGTGGACGGCCGCTATGCACACGATATATCTGATTCGGGATTCGAGAGTCGCCTGAGTCTTCAGAAGTACGCAGAAACGGCGGTTCTTGAAACACAATGTTCCCTAAGAAAGGGCAAACAATTGGCCAGGGATGTGGACTCGGATTGCAACAGCGCGGAGAATCAAATCTCAGAGCTCGATCATCAAAATACGATCAAGATCGAGAGGTTGCACAGCCAAAGACAGAGTACGTGGACAACGCGAGAGGTCTAGATGACCAAAGACAGCTTGAAGACCAAGCCTTATGTTTATTACTGCATACTAAGCTGCAGATCGCCCCACTCGTTTTCGAAAGCAAAACTTGAAATGTATTTCTTGAAGTTGTGCTCGAGCCTTGTAGAGGACCCGCCCTGGGCGCCCTATGTACATAAGCCAGATAATCCAAATCTTGATCGTCTCCCCTTCTCTCTGACGGCCGATGACAATCAACACATCATTGCACTCCAATGAGCACTTCAAATCTGTCACAAAGAATCTCTCCCAAATTTGGGGAGGGGATGTTCGTCTCGAATAATACTTGTGAGGAGACTTTCTGAGCGAGTCATGTTAATGATACCATCTCGAGGCTTGGTGAAAAGCACGGATCTCAACCCGAGGCCAGATCCTCCATCGGCGAAGCTGCATCGCTATATCGAACACTACCCAATGTATGCTTGCCAATAGTCGGTCCCCGGGATCCAAGCATCAAAGCAAGTCAGAACAATATTTATGATTCATGGCAAACAAAGGTGTTGAACTCAACACGAAGGCGGTCACCCGGGAAATCGATCTAGACATTATGCTGGATTTGTACAAGTGCGGGTCAGCTGCGGCGCCACCGCGACTGCTCTCAAGATTCAACCCAGATCTCCCCAACGACGTCCCACTCCTTCAGAACACGAACATCCTCAGCATGATGCCTCGACTGCGCGCTCTCCTCCTGGCCCTCATTGACGGTCACGTCCTCGATCAGAACCACCCGCAGCCCACCGAATGTCACAAACCCCCGCTTCAGCGGCAAGTAGGACAGCTCGAAATCCTGCGAAGCCACGACCTTCACTGTCAGATTCCCGCCGGCCTCCCCGGATTCACTGTCCGCCTCGCTGTCGGTGGTGTCCGTGCTTACGTTCCTCTCGTGCGCGGGCGTGCGCCCGGGTGTCTCCCCCGGCTCAAATGGCGGCGCAAGCCGCAGCTGGGGTAAGATCACGGCTGATCCACCCAGAGACACTACGTCTTTGCACTCGGCGAGCTTGCCACCCGCACCGGAGCCCGCCCGCACGAACGGCGGGGGCAGCGAGACGACCTCAGCACCGAAGCGCGTCCCGAGCGGCGCTGGCGTCGCACCGCCACCGTCCGTTTGTGCGTCGTCGTCGTCTATGGCCATGCGTCGGGGCGACGTGACGAGGAGTCGGCACGCGAGGAAGTCCTGGAAGTCCGCGCGCTGGGGCGTGCCGTGCGGAGACGCACTCGACAACACTGATTCCGGGAGACGTGGGCTGTACGGGTCCTCTTTGGATGGTGCAGGTGCCGCTGCCGCATTCTCAGCCTGGACCGATCGTGGTGGCCGGAGATGCTGCACGACCAGCGAGAGGGGCCGCGCGAGAGGGGCCGCGCGAGAGGGACAAGGGCGGAGACATTCAGGGTAAAGGCGACTGTAAAAGGTTGCTCGACGTGCAGCGCGTCACGCGGGATAGTGCGAACGACGAGGTCCACATCCACGTCTTCCTTGCGGATCATGGCTGGATTGGGCGATGTCGGCACAGGTATGAGGCATTGCGGCCCATGAGTCGTGGTGCGGCTGCGGAAGGGCGATCGAGGTCGGAATGGGCATGAGCGCACCGACAGCGCAGAATGGTGCAAGGGATATCAAAAACAAAACGAACAGGGTCTTCGGATATGATGCATAGATGGACGTTCGTGTCGACGACCGGAAGGGATAGGCTAGCCTCATTCATCAGATGAGCCCATAGCGTTATCTGACAGGATAAAAGGTACATTTATATCACTCAGCTGTGCTTATCGCGCGCCATACATTACAACAAAACACCAACATGCAATTGGCAAAGGCGAGATTCAAGAATTGCGCGACTCTAGCCACCTACTTCCTGACGCCAATCTCGCCCAGATACCCCTGCAACGTCTCATCCCAAGTGCGTACTTCGTGATTGAGCCGGTACCTGGACTGCTGTGGAACACCAGACATAGGTGCCTGATAGTACCACTGCGTGTTCCAGTTGTTATCCGTGATCTTGTCGTTCACATAGTTAGCCTGTGGCACGATCAAGTCAGTTGAGCGCTGAAGCGATATCAGAGGCTACCGACCTCTCCAATGAGGACCTCAGCACGACCTTTGGCGCCGCTGCCACCGTCGCTCCCGTGCGAAATGTAGAAATCTATCGGAGACCCATCGTTGATAATAGAGAACCTATGCGATATCCATGTTCGATGTGAAGGTGCCGGCTAACCGTGACACGGCACTCACCGTATGGTCTCTCTTCTCTGATCGTGACTATGTTCCCTGCCCCAAGTGATCTTCGTTTCACTGCCCTGAGTCAGGGGCGGATACGGGTTTGCTTTGTTCTCGATGATCACGCCGCTAGGGCTGAGAAGGCCAAATTCAGCCCAGTCAGACTGGATGGTGAAGGTGAGCTCTGTCCTGTACGGCTGTGGGAGCGTAATGTTGTAGCTGAGAGCGTCCTGGATATCATTAGCGCGCCCGCGCACGGTGGTGTTAGCTGCGTCTCGCATATCATCCCAGAGCTCCGTCGTCGTGAAGGGTAGAGCGAGGATCGTTACGATGAGAGAGGATCGAGGGATTCGCGAACAACAGGGGCGGAGGCCCGATTACTGGCGTTGGCTCGACAAAGAGATACAGGAGACGTTCGAACCAATCTAAGTATCTACGTCCAAGTCCGAGACAGCGCGGCATATTTCGAAAGGTGAGTCAGAACTTGTACTAGTGCCACCGCTGTTGCCGGGGATGTCCGTCTAGGTCACGATCAGCATATGCAGGACCATCCATCGGTGTAGACACCGGGTCCAACGTGGTTGAGCTGAGCTCCCCCGCCTGAGATTGCGCGATGCTCGACGTCGCAAGTCTTGGGCCAGCCCGCGTGTCGGAATTGACTGAGCTTATATTATTATTTGACAGACGAATCCTCGATACCGTGGTCGATATTGCATGTCACACGTATGTAGATACAGCTCAGTGGTTCGGAGAGCAGCACTTCTTGCATATAAACAACGAGATATATTGAGCGCCTCCAGGTAAACAAAGAGAGAAAATACGCCCAAGCGCGACGAGCAGAGCACGGGAGCGAGTCGAAGTGAAGCGCCGTAGTAGGAGAAATCACAGCAATAGAGCAGGAATGATACTGTGCGTAATATGGTCGTGCGCGCAACCATAGCGATGACTACATCGACGAGCAAGGTTGGGCGGATCTGCAGGTCGAAGAGGTATGCGAGTATGAGACCGCTCCTTAGCGAGATCGAACTCGCCCCTAGTGTGCGATGGAGCGCGGGAAGACCGAGTTGACGCACACCCTGGGCCATAGTTCTGCGGGATAATGCCATCGCAGACGATGTGAGGTGCGCATGCCCGTAGAGAGGGAGGGAGGGATCGCGACATCTATAGACAGCGAAGATCGAGCAGCGTGAGAAGAGCGCATGAGCCCACCGACAGCGCAGAATGGTGCAAGGGATATTGAGAAAAAACGGACAGGGTCTTCGAAAAAGATGCATATACCGACAGTCGTGAGGTTATAGACGATTGGCAGGGATAGGCCAGCATCATTGGTCAGATGATCCTGAGTGAGCCCATACCGTTATCTGGGAGGATGAAAGGTACATTTATATCACTTAGCTGTGTCGGCGCGCAATAACGCATGTCGTCTTCGAGCTATGACATCGCATCGAGCAGTTGTTCATATCCATGAAATCGACCTTGACGGGCATCCAGAGCGGAAAAACGACAACGGGTGTGTAGATGGCCGCCGTACCGTAAGCAGTTCGCCAATCGGCTGGCAGCCGTGTGTTGTCCCGCGCAGCTGTCTACAGGTCCGGGTCGGCAGCCAGGGGTAAAGCAGCGCGGCGCGCACTGGGTAGGACCGCATACGTCCACGAGCGCACTCAACGTCCAGAGGATCCCAGTAGCATACAGAGACAGCTTTCCAGTCAGATGCTTGCCAGTGAGCGGGGCGAACTGATAGAGGCGCACCATGTGCTAGTCGCTCAGCACGGTGTTCCACCACTTTCCCCTCCCAAAGTTTGTCTGTTGAGCGGACGTATAGATGCGAGTAACTGGGATCCTCTTGCTCGTTTCCAATGACAAGGCCGCGGCATTGAGACGTCTGAGCACGAGAGCACAGCGACCAGGCAGGGTAGTTGTCCTAGCGCGTATGGGACGTGGCTGTGCGAGGTATAGGCTCCCAGGTAGCAGCAGAAAAGAACATCCACCGCTCGTCGACGAATCCAAAGGGCTACGAGGACGGTTTAGCTGAGGACGACGCCCACCCACGGGGACAACCAAATGCGTCTTGACTCTGGCAAGCGAATGTTTTCTTGCTATCACGAGGACATTTAACTGTAAACACAGCTTGAAGGTTGCCACGTCACCGACAGAAGGTGAAGGAGTAGGAGAGGAGCATGCGTTGAACTTTTGCACCCGAGCTTGACTGACACGGCAGGTGCGAAGTACAGCCCGACGTCTAAAAGAGGTTGCGATTAAAGACGGCGTGCGAACTCGCACCGCGCCCCAAACGCCTTCGAGTTGAATTGCCTCTCCGAGGTTTGTCTTCATCCAGGACCACGCAACGCCAAGCGGTTTGTTTCTGGCACCTCCGTTCAGCCTCGGATTGGATTGCGCTTCACAGCTGTGTAGCTCAAGGCTGTCGATCATTCGCTGCCAGCCACCAATCCAGAGACCAGCCACACAGCCAGCGAAGTACGAACGGGAAATAAGGCAGGTTTGTGCACACTTCCGGCCACAAGGGGTGGAATCAGGGGCCGTCTACAGGGCTATCGAAGACATAAATCTGCTAAAAGATCGAGAATTTGCTGAGCAGGTAGACAAATCGGCGTCTGCATCAGCGGTAATACGTCAGTGTAGAGAGCGAGCGACGCGGAGGGGCCAAATAGGATTGAGATCGGAACCGCCCGCCCCCCCCCCTGACATGTTCGCAGTGGCCTAATCCCTGCGCGTTTCTTGATTGACCTACTATCAACATTTGCGCTTGCGAACAGGCATTGTGGGACGTCGCCGTGCCCGTGAATAATTTACAGGCTTTCAGGAGACTGCGCTGCATCTTCGTTGCATATGACGTATGCGAGTGTCTTGGCTCTGCTTCTACCTAATCTGCTCCCTTTCTCACTGCTCGGGCCCTCACCGGTGAACACTCGAATCACCCTCTGCTGATACCGCGCGGAAAAGTGAGAAAAGTAATAAATTTATAGCTCGTAGACATAGATGGATTGATGAGAAACGTTGACGCCGTATAGAGAATATAAAACTGGATTTAGAAAAAGCAAAGTTGAATAGGCACTGCAAGTGTACACGGAATCCTAGGTCTATCGTTTACACTTGGTCTACTGGCACTGCGACTTCCACAGGGGGCGCCGCAAGGGGCGCCGCAGGAGGTGCCACATTAGCAACACTCACATTCCATGACACTAACACGA